TTTATTACTTAAATTAATTTTATTTGTTTAGATAAAACAATTGAAAATCTTTTATATACATTTTCAACCTATCATATAAATTAACTAATTTTTTTTAAAAAAATTATTATTGAAATAGTAACATTTTTCCAAACACATATTATGCAAAACTTTAGACTTGTTTGGGAGTTGATTTTTAGAGAGATTGGAAGAAAAAAAAATAACTTATCTAATAATTATCTTTATTTGAGAATTTGTAGTCAAGAAAAAAAGGTTTTATAAACTCTCTAAAACTCTCATAATAACATATTTTTAAATTTTTCTAATTTAAAGTGTTTTTCATTAACCATACTTTCTCCCCCTTTCCTCTCTCCTCCCTTATCCTTCAATCTTTTTTCTTGTACTTCCCTTTAAAATTCCAAACAAAATCTTAAAGTTTAGAAGTATAAATTTTTTTATTCTTATAAGACTATTTGACATATATTTTTACAATTAAAAAATACAAAAAAAGACTAATATAATAAAAAAAAGGAAAAATAAATAGTAAACAAATTATAAAAAAGTATGTATAAAAATAACATAATTCTACAAGTATTGAAGCATCTGTTTTGTTTGTTTCTTTTTTATTTTATGGTCAACATTTTGTTGGTTTTTGTGTCTTTACTTTTTCTGCATCGCTTTCATGGATTTTCCTTAAAATTTACTTGCGGAGAACTGAAGACATGCCTTTAATTGAAATGTTGCTGTCATTTGTAAAATAATAATTATATTCATATACGTTATTTTCATCTTTCTTTTACTTCATTTCTTTTTTTATTACATCACATCACTTATCAAATTTTTTATTTTATTTTTTTATCTCTCTTTTCCTTCCATACTTGTATTCCAAAAATATAATATATAACGATTATTTTCCTTGTAAGATTTAATTATAACACCTTTTTCTACCTATTTTTTGGATATGCATAATGAAAATCAGAACAAGATTGAAAATGTAAAACAAACTTCATTCGTCTCATGTATAAACTTCTCATTTCCCTAACAAAACATCAAGTCCATAGTTCCAATCAATTATTTTTCTATTATCAATTATAATGTGTTTAAGTTAAGACATGAAGTCTTAAAATGATATCTAAAAATCTTCTAAAACAATCATCTAGTCAAGTAAGCAATAGTTACACATTCTTATTCTTTGGTTGAGTAACTGTAACTTTCTTTCTAATAACAATTAACCTTGAACATAAATGTAATAAAGTTGTCTAAGTTGAGACAAATTTCATAGCTCGCCTAAACTTACATGGTTGGTTTGTTTTTACTTCCCTCAACCACTTATTGAATAAAGTTATTCCCCTTCTACAACTCTTTCTAGCACGTTGAACTTGAAACAAGATTTATTGGAATGACTTAGTCCCAAGCAATTTGCTAAATTCAAGATTCAATTTTTAATATCAGATTTTTTTTGGCAATCTCCAAACTTGTGAGTTTCCCAACTGTTGATGTGTCTTTCAACACACATCCAATCATACTCAATGAATAAGACTAAATAAAACATTATTAAGTCTTTAAAAAATAATGAAAGTAAATAGAAATATGTGTTTGTAATAATTGATAAGAGATTGACTTGTCAATTTCACGATCTCTTACATACAATTAGTTGCAAGTTAAACCTGGGTCCTTTTATGATCTCTCTCAAATAGAGTTTGATTTGAAAATTACAAATGAATTACAATAACTTCCTGTCAAAATTTTGAGCTCAACATATTGTGCATCAAGATGTGATTGCAACTAGAGTGTTTTTTAATAAGTAATTGTCGTAAACTTACTTCTCTTTTATTTTAATAGTCAAGCCTAGTACCTTTTCTCTAGAAATTAAAAAAAAAACTAAAATATATTTTTTTAATTACACTTACATTATAAATTAATTCAAAAAAAAGAAGATAAATTTGATTAGAAGAAATTGTATGACTTAATTTATGTAAAATATAAACAACTCAAATATTATAATCGTAGAGGTATAATTTATCACACTCAATAACATCGATGAGGGTAATAAGAAGTTGGTTGAAGAAATGGATGATGATAAATATATTAGGAATGAGTTAATTTTTTATGATAATTACACTATGAGCCTAGAACATATACTAAGCGACATTTTAAGAAAAGAAAATTTCTCTCAAGTAGTATTACTATTGAAGCTACAAAAGTTTCTAAGAAAAATCATGTTTAACAACAAAAGAAAATGCGAAAGTGATGATTAAAGATGATGAATGATGTGTGAAAATCGTGGCAAGTGCACTAGTCATTTCTTTCGTAAGGAATAGCTAACATCATAAGGATTGCAAATCAATTATGAATTTCCCAATTTCTTTACTACCTGGCTTACAATTTGGATAGACAAATCAATTTTCATATAATAAATGTGAAACTTATAGTAAACTATATCATAAAATGCAAACGAACCGAGGAATTATCAAACACAACATCATATATTATAAGTGTTAAACAATGAGTTTATCCAACCTTCACTTAAGTAACCTAAAATTTCACTCTAATACAAGTCCTAAAAGTGTAACTAAAAGTCAAATTCTTAATGTAAATGAAAGTCAATTTCTTAGCCCAACAACATTTTTCCCAAATTAGAAACTCTAATTCCCTATAAATTCTCAATTTAAACAAGCATTAAATTCTAAAATTCATAAGACCTTATAATTGTGGACCTTTATTTCTAGAGTGTCATCAATCATGTTGCTTTATCTCATATATAATTTTTATCTCAATCTTTCAATTACAAATAGAAATTCATGATCAAATATGAGTGGCAAATTTGCAGATGCATTAAGAACAAAGATAAGCAATTAACTTAAAATAAATAGACTTGAACTAAAGTAAAAATTTGGATTGCATATAAGTTAGGGTTTGAATCCCTCTTTGTTGCTTAAGTAAAAAGTTTAGTTACACTCAAAGTTTGCAGAGAGAGAATTTCATAGAGAAGAGTTGTAACTGTCAAAAAGTGCTCAAATCTGAGTTTTTCACACCATTTATAGCTTCTACACATGTTTTGATGTGAGTAATGTTGGGTTTGAGCATCCTTACACTCTGCAGGTCACACTATTCTGATCCTTAGCTTTGATGACGTAGTTTTGGTGTTGATAACACTTGGAAACATTTCTCATAGCATCTTCATTCAAAACTTTCATGAAATTCATGGTTATAAACAAAGAAAGTTTAAACCACTAAAATTAAAAAAAATTAACATAAACTAATCTATAAATCTAAATTAACCAAAATCACAATAAGAAATTAAAAACTAAAAGATTTATATGTTATATACTCCAATAACAAATGTAAAAATACCGATTCTCTTCCTTATTTATACTCAATGAAATGTCATGTTAGACACTTATTAACAAAGAACTAGAATTTGAAGACATGTTAGAAGAATCAGAAGAGAAGAGATAAACCTTAGTAGATAAAAAAATGACTGTTGAAATTGAAAAAAAAAATTAGATATTTAACATTTATATTTTTCTTATTTTCTATCACTTTGTTTTATTTATTTGACCTTGATGATTTTTTATTTTATATTGAACTATTCCTTGAGATCTATGCTACAATGTTACTATGAAACTTTTGATATGTTGTTATTAAGTTGTTTGGTTTTGGCATATGTTGTTAATTATTTTTTTTATTACATTCTGCTGTTTTTTATATATTTTTGAATATATAGCATACATAAATTATATTATTTTATTATGGCCGCCATGCTTCTACCATAATTATATATGATATCCATTGCAGTAAATTGCAGTGTGAAAGTAAAACACAGTTTAGGTGCAAACCTTGAAATCCAAATCAATATACACGTTGCAGAAGTAATGTCTCCATATAGTGGTGTTTCTCACTAGTGATCACTGATATCAGGAACCTAAGACCTTATGGATTATCTTTTCCTCTACTTCTATTTACTGAATCCCAATCCGGTACATTAGTAGAAACCTGTTTGACCATTCTTTACATGCTGCATCTGTAAATAATCATCATAGTATTTATTAGCTGCCAAAACTATTAACCTCAAAAGGACCATGGCATAAACGAAGCTTCCATTAAAATAGTTGTTGTTTTGTAGGTTCATGAAAAAGTGAATTATTTAAAATTAGATGCAATTCCATTCACGCAATGTTCACTTCCAAATAAAATTTTGATTCAGCTATTTTTCATCAAAATAAATAATGTTCAATTCAATTCAACACCCAAATGCAAATAATTATCAGATTATCAAATATTCAGATTCATGATATCCACAGTATATTTCATGTCACAAGTGAAGCCAAGCCTAGTTTCCAGTCAATTTTAGCTAATTCAGTTACCAACCCCCCCCCCCCCCCTCTCCTTCAAGAAAAAGATAGAACACTCAAACAGAATATATATCTAAATGGCCAGCATCTAACAGATAGTTAGTATTTGACATACCACACACCATTATTTATGATAAATTAAAAGAAGTAAAGATAGAATTACTGAAGAGATATTCCCAAACCAAACACATTTTAAACTCTGACTCTCTCAACAGCCAGCACAGAGCATGAATAAAACACCTTTGTAGTCAGATTACTAGAATTTCTCCTAGACAACAATCAAGTTTTTACACTTAATAAGAAATGTTAAATTCAATACAAGTAGCTAGAAGGGAAAAAAAGGACTAAAATAATCAATTTGAAATAAAGAGATGGGATGAAGTTGCTATAGCCAGCCTATGGCCCTCAATGATCAATCAAATGCATATAGAGTAAAAAATCAAGAAAATGAGGCTTGAAGAAACTGGATTGAAGAATTAGGATCCTTATTTTATAATCACTAAGAAGAAAATGAAAGTGACAAAGTAAAGGGAAACAAAATCAAACTGAAAGAAATCAAAGCTAAAGAAAAAAAAATGGACCATACATCAAAGCAACAGCATCAGGTTCACTCCCGAGCACTAGTAAGATGATCAAACATAACCAGAAAATAACAATAAATGATAATAGAATATAAGAGATTATTTGATACATCTGATTTTTGACTAGTGCCATATCAATATGTAATCATATCAGCTAGAAGAGACTAAAACTTTAATTTTGAAATCACCAAGTTACTTATCGTAACACTTACATGGTTAGTGCTAATAAATACAGTAGTTGAAGTCCGAGATAATGATGATCCACGAAGCAGACATGGCACATTATGTAGTGTGTGGGGTAGGAGAATACTCTTACACCAAGTTTATCCAAGAATCTCTCGTTGAAAAGAAGCCTGCTAGCATAGGCAATGATGATACTGTAGCAACAGAGAAGTTATGCTGTGAGAGAGAAAATGAGACTGTCAGTCAGCACCCACAATGATACAACCACTGCATCTCCTTATCCATAGTTAGTATTGTGGCTTTTATCTCTTCAATATTCCCATGTAATTGATCTCCGGCAAGAAACAGATGAACATTATCTTTCATTATAATCCAACTACAACCCGGACTTTTTTTTATTCCTTTTAAATTTTTAGCTTTTCTTACTAAGTCACCCTCGATCATTTTCCCAGCTGCAGAATACAAGTTGGATAATACCACATAAGGAGTTGCATTTTTAGGCTCCAGCTCAGCAATGTGTTGAGCTGCAAGCTTAGCAAGGTCGAGACGTAGATGGATTTTGCTTGCACCAAGAATAGCCCCCCAAACCCCAGAATGGGGCTTAAATGGCATTGAATGGATTAAATCAATAGCCTCATCTAGCAAACCAGCACGGCCAAGGAGATCAACAATGCAAGCATAATGATCAGCTTCTGGCTCAATTCCGTGTTGAGATTTCATGGTGTTAAATAAGTTCCATCCCTCTTCAACTATTCCTGCATGAGTACAGGCTGAAAGAACAGCAAGGAAAGTAACATGGTTGGGTTCATGGCCTTCACTCTGCATTTTTTTATAGATACTGAGAGCCTCTTCACCAAAGCCATTTTGTGCAAACCCATTAATGATTGAGTTATAAGATATGACATTTGGGCTAATGACATCTAAGAAAATCCTGTAGGCGTCAATTACATTACCACACTTAGAGTAGAATGATATAAGAGAGTTTTGTATAGAAAGATCATATTCTAGGCTCATTTTCAGAGCACAAGTATGAATCTGAAGCCCTTCATTCAGTGCTGCCAAAGCAGCTGAAGCTGCTAGAACGCTGCTAATAGTCAGAGGATTAGGTCTGCATCCTTCCCGCATCAACCGAGCATACCAATGCAAGGCTTCCTCATACTCGTTATTATTCACAAACCCAGATATAATAGCCGTCCAAACAAAATCATCCTTCTCTGGCAACATATCAAAAAGCTCTATGGCCTTTCCAACTCTTCCACTCTTAGTGAACCCCGTGATCATGGCCGTCCAAGAAATCAAGTCTTTCTTGGGCATCCTATCAAAAAACATAGAAGCAGCTTCTATTTCATTGTTATGAACATATCCAGAAATCAAAGAATTCCATGTAACTATGTCTTTGTAGCTGACAGTACAAAATACTTTGTTTGCCATGTCTGTGCAACCAAACATGCAGTACATTGTAATAACAGAATTACTCAAAACATTGTCAAACTCAAATCCCATATGCGAAACCAACCCATGTATCTGCATGCCCTCAGGCATCCTACCACAATTTCCACACGCTTTAAACATTATAGTCATTGTAGTGGAATTAACTCCTACCAGACCTTCCCTCCTTATATCCATAAACAAACGAAACCCCTCTTGAAAGAACCCCTTTCCCATATACCCATCTATCATTGCACTCCAAGAAACCACATTTCTATCAGGCATCCTATCAAACAGGTTCCTAGCACCAGCAACCCTCCCGTCCCTACACAAACCATCAATCATGGCACTCCAAGACACCACATCCCTTTCAGCCATGTTTTCAAAAACCCCCAACGCCTCATTCACCTTACCCATCTTCAAATACCCATTTATCAACGCATTTGAGCAAGCAGGGTCCCGAAACTCATGTGGGGCCTCACGGTACAGTTTCTCAGCCATTTGGAACTTCCCTGCCTTAACAAAACCCATTATCATAGCAGCATAAGAAACCAAGTTGCGTTCACCCAACTCTGAAAACAACTCATAAGCTTTTCTCACATTGCAACCATTGCCAATATAAGCAGAGATCATAGCATTATACGAGACAGTGTTTCGTTTAGGCATTTCATCAAACATTTTGCGAGCATTTTTTATTTGACCATTTTGGGCATAGGCAGTGAGCATGGCAGTCCAAGAGGCTGTGCTCTTTATGGGAATCTTGTGGAATACCATTTCTGCTTCTTTAACGTTGCCATTTCGTCCGTGTTCTGCAATCTTAGTGTTGCATTGGATCAAAATTTTGCTATTTTTACCATTACTTTTTACAGAGTCAGTATGTTTTTTATTAAGCTTGAAATGGGTGAGCTCCAACTTAGTGACTCGTTGGTGTAAGGTTACGAGGTGGGGCTTCATATTCTGGAGTTTCGAAAGAGAGAAGTTAGAGGAACGAAAAATAACTAAGAAAAATGAAACATTTGTTTAAATGCATCATTACCAAGTAAAAGTACCAAAAAGATTAATGCGCCACTCCCTCAACCTTCTTCAATGAACTTAACAGACGTACATTTCATTGCAAAGTTATTAAACTGGCCTCCATCGTTCACTCAACACCTCCTTTAATTCTTTGACATATGTTTTTTTGTTTAATGTTTAATAACTTCACATATATTTTGAGTCTTTTATAAAATTATAAAATTTTATTTATTTACATCTTTAATTTAATAAAAAAAATAGTGTATTTTAATCTTCCGCCAAAGATTAGTTTATAGATTCTTATTTTGTGAAATTAAAAATAATAAAATTTTATTAAGATTAAAATTAAAATTTAATTTAATAATTATATAAAAATTAATATATAACTCATAAATATATCTATTTTGTTCGCACGCAACATAACGAAAATAATGAATTAGTTAGATGACGTATAATTTAAAAAATTAAATAAAAATATTATAAAAACAATAAATGAATAACTACGTGATTTAATAAAAATATGTAAATAATTAGAAAAATACAATATTAAATTAAACTATTATTTCTTATTTAATTTTACATTTTTTATTTTTTATACTATTTATGTAGTTAAATAATTTAATTTTAATAAAAATTAGCAATGATTGATTTAAGATATGAAATTTATAATAAATATATTTTTATAATTTAAAAATATTTTATTTTATCATTTAAATAAAAGGTTAAATTATACGTTTTAGTCCTTATAAATAAAATACACTAATAAATTAATTTTAGTACTTAAAAAAGTTATATTTTAAGTTTTTATATAAATATTTTATGTTTTAATCTCTGGCATTAATAATGTTATGTCGGTAGAATTTAAAATATAACAAAATCTTTGTATAGAAATTAAAAATTAATTTGTAATAAAAATAAAAAAAAATTAATAAACTTGCCTAGAAAAAATTAGAAATTAGCGATAAATAAAAGAATTATAAATTTTAAAAGTATTAAAAACTCATATATTAAATAAAATATCGTTCATGATTTATAATCATATATATTTATTGATCAAATTTAATAATTTGATAAATATATAAATCAATCAAAAAATAATAATTATAGTTAATAAAATACTAATAATATATGATAAATATTTTTTATTACAATTAAAAATATTTAAGTATATATAATTTTGTTGAGTTAATATAATAAAAATAATTAGATATACTTAAATATTGAGTACATAAATTTTAACATAACTATTTTTTATCATAACATTTTAGATAGAACACAATTAAAATTATTAAATATGAATCGTGTAAAATTGGTTATATAGATGAAGTAATGTTTAAAAATAATCATAATGTTGATGAGAAATAAAAAGATATATAATGAATTAAAAGTATCTACTGCAAAATTAAAAGCAAAAGAGTTTAAAATAAAAAGTTCTGATTATTCGCACTTGAATTGAAATGAAAGGAGTGATATGATTGCATAGATGATTATTCTGTGGCAGTAATTGTAAACAAAGTTGATTAAGCTTGAGTGATTCTAATATCCTTCCATTTTTTGTAAAAAGTAAGATAAAATTATCTTTTTCAAAAGTTTTCAAATATTTTGGACCATTGATCAAAATCAGATGTTAAAAATAAAAGATAGAAAATCTGTTGTACAAGTTACATTTAAGAAGGATATATTAATAATTTTTTTTCTTTCTCATTCAGTTCCTCTTCTTTGTCTTCTCCCTTGTTATCTTCTTCCTTTTCTTCTTCAGCATTAATAACATAGTTTAAACTCAGAAAAAATATTAAAAAACGCTAAAAAAATTGAAAGCATAAATTAATATTCTAGAGGTGCTTGAGCAAGTTCTCATCCTTATTTATGTTCTATAATAAAAGGGCACATATGTTAAAATATGATAAATATGGATTTATCAAGAATCCTTATTGAATTTGTTTATGTTCTCTTTTTATCCTTGAAATATGGCACAGTTTGCTTAAGAAAATCAAGACTTGGTCAGAAATCTGTGTCAAAAATTGCAGCAAACTCATAGTCTTTCACATAATCACAGCTTGAGATTCTCAGCTTTATATCTTGGACTAACGGATAGATTATATTGATTCTCTTTTGACTTTATTTTGTGACTTGATTAACCATTGTTTCCTCTGTGTGACGTAATTTTCTTTTAAATGTTACTTTCTAGATCAGTTCTGTAGAAGAACTCATGTAAAAAGCTAATATCACTATTTTTTACATTGATCTTATTAGAGAACTAATATGCATAAAAAGATAATGTATACTTTTTACATTGGTTATGTGAAGGAACTGACGTTAACGTAACTATTTTTACATCAGTCCTAAGAGAAAACCTATGTAGAAAGTTAACATCTCAACATAAAAATAAAGTAAAGTTAACGTATACTTTTTACATCGGTTATATGAAGAAATTGACGTAGAAAATTAACGTAACTACTTTTACATCAGTCCTACGAGAAAATCTATGTAAAAAGTTAACATCGTCGTAATTTTTTGAAGGTGCATATTATTCTGGGTAAAGAGTTCTATTATTTCACTGGATGAAATTTTAATCTTTTGACTTTACTTTGCTGATTCTATGTAGGCGTATGAGCAGTCTTTTAGTGTTCATTTTTTTACTTGAATCAACCTCAAATGTAGTTGAAACACCTTAGACACAGCTATGTTTGACCTCTTCTTTCATCTCTCATATCATTATGCTACTTCCCTCTAAACGGTATAATTATTGTCACTGTCAATAGTAAAAATAAAGTGATACTACTAATTTGATGTCTTTCTATGACAACAACAAGATTAGGTTAGAATTTAGAGGGAGTCGCTGTTATAGTGAAAACATATTGATATTATATATCACTTAATAAAAATTAATTTTTTTTTACATGTTTATTGACAAATTATAATTTTATGTGATTTCAGAGTTTCGATAGAAGAAAATAATTAGAAATGGAGGAGGTTAAAAGGAAAGGAGAGAGATGAGAATGGAGGAGCTCTGGATAGATAGAGAAGAAATAGATAAAGAAAAATAACATTTATTTATTTACCCTTCATTAACATGTTATTACTCAAAATAGTCACATGCTACTTTCAATTATTAACTTTTTCACCTATCAATTTTAACCATTCATTTTTTATCTACAAATATCGACAGCTTGATGTTAATTTCACTTTACTTATTGAAAAACATTATTTTTACTTTTTACAAAAAAAGAGAAGATATTAGAATCGCTCGATTAAGTCTTGCTTGCTTGAAGCTTTCACACTTATGTTCTAGAGTTCAGCTAGTCTGAGTTTTAATGTTAACTCTTCTTGGATTGCTATAGTGCTTTATTTGTTGCTCTTTACTTTAAGACTGCGTTATGAACAACACACCGAGCTCACGCACTTCACAGTATATATTTCTTTGAGCTTATAATAACTGCAAAGACATGTTTTTAGCTTCTTTTTTACCAGTCACATTCACAAGTGAGACTTAGGAAAATGCTCTCATGAGTATCCCATAAAGCTAACCTAAAGATTCTTAGTGTAGAGATATAATTAGATTAAAAAGATTGCGTGCAACTTTTGAAAAAACTTTTATTCTGTAGATTAATATGTTGAAATAGATTATAAAAAAAATCAAGTTAAAAAGTTATAATTTATTCTGTAGATTAATTTTTCAATAACAGTTAAAATTGATTAATTTATTCTATTAAAATTTTAATTAAAGATTATAACTCTTCCTATTATTCTTTGATGCATATTTCATTTTAGTCAAATTAATCAAAGAAGATGCATCTTTAGTTAAATTTTTCTTCTTTTTTTTCCCTCTCTCTCTCTCTCTCTTCTTATCTCCTTTTCCCTTTTCCCTTTTCCCTTTTCCTAACTCTGTTAGAAGGCCAATTGAGAACTCTATCAGGGAGTTCCTTTATTAGGTTCCACAAAGTGATTTTCTATAAAAATATTGTTTCAGCTCTTAAAAAATTCAATTAAATATTAGTCGTATTCTGATTTTTTTATTCAATATATTTATATTATTTAGTTAAATACATTTTTTTAATACTATATTAGTCTATTTCTAGTTGCATTGCGTAATATGCAATAATTAACAAGTTGATATTATAAAAATAATAAAACTCAGCTAAATATAAAGTATATTTTGAACTATTACCTTTACACAGATATAAAAGAATTAACATATAATTTTATTTTTTATATATATGATATTAAAGTTCAATAGTTTTAATTTTGCTAATATCTTTATCAAATTTATAAGAATTAAACAAAACAAAAATAACAACAGAAGTTAAATCTTTTGATGTGATAACACTTCAAAATAATAATATATTATTAATTTTTATGTATTTTACTTCAAGAAGAGTAAAGATTGTCTAATATAAAAACTATCAATTATGATATTATTCCTGATCTTAGTCGATATTAATTTTAAAATGTTATTTTTACAAATTTTTTGACCTAAATTCTTTCAATATTATTATATATGTTATAAAAATAATTAATAAAGAACATTAAAGTTATAAAAAAAGATATCCAATTGACTTTTTTCAAAGAAAAGTACGTTAGAAGAATAAATTATTCTTATGAATATACTCTAATTTTATATATAAAGAAAGATTTAAAAATAATTAATTTAAAATTAAAAATAGTTAAAATTAAAAAAAAAAACTTAATTTTTAATATAGAATGAGAATATACATAGTTAAGTATTAGAGGAAAATTTTATGTAAAAGTTAAAATTAATTAATTTTAGAATTTGTAAAAAATGTAAACAAATAATTGTAAAGTCGTGCATTTTTTTTAAAAAGCATAATAAAAAATTATCTCATTTTTAAAATTAAGACTGGTCTATTTTATCATGTTAAAGAAATTAACTTAACTTTAATTTTTAATATCTCATTTTTTAGTAATAATTCTCTTTCTATGTGCACATTATAAAGTAACATTTTTATAGGTACATAAAAAGTATAATTTTTTGCTAATAAACATAAAAAAAATAAAATAAAAATGAGTTAGATATGACCGTTGAAATTTTTTGCTAATAACTTTTTTTGCTAATAAACATAAAAAAAGCATAATATCTCTAGACATAAATTTTATTTTTTTTTGCTAATAACTTTTTTGCTAATAAACATAAAAAGTATAATTTATAACATAGTCTTTTACCTAATTGTATGAACTATGTAGTCATCAAATGGGAAGAAAATAAAAATAACATATTTATTGTTAAAAAATTACTACTAAATGGAAAAAAAATCATTATGATTTTATTCTTTTTTATTAGAAAAAAGATATTCGAGGTATAATTATAAGCAAGACACCTATGCGCGGCAGAGTAAGAAATGTTTTTCTATTTTTCATTCTTTTATATCAAAATTTTCATTATCATCCACATTTAATTCTAACTTAAGGTGTTTTTTTTTTTCCTCATCTCCTTATTTCATCAACTGAGAAATCACCAAGACATGAATCCCAAACATGAACAAATGATATATTTGCCTCAAGTTACCATTTACATTTTTGAAAGCAAAGTGAAAAATAAAATAAACATCAAAACTATCATTACAGAATTTTTTATGCTCTTAATGAAAAGATTAAATTAAAAAAAGTATAAAAAATAAAAAAATTTATATGTTTAAATGTTTTGTCCGTGATAAAAATTAATCTTTCATAAAGATTCGTTATTTAATTTCGCTACACAAAATAGTGAGATATTGAGAGAAGTGTAATGTAAATTATTTTTATATTTTATTGAAAATATTTTTAAAATAATATAAAATAATTATAAATTTCATAATTAAGAAACAAATGTTATATTTTTTGTTAAAATTAAATTTTCATTTTTATTATAATTTTTTAATATAAACTACTTTTCTTTACTTTTTTTTCTATTATCCAAACAAGCAACGAAAAAATTATTTATTTCTATACCGTGTTCTTTTGTACTTATTTTCCATTTCATCTGAACATAATATAAAAGAAACCTAATAATTAGACCTTGTGTTTAAATAATACATCTTTTTTTTATCTTATTTTTCATTTATTTCTTTTATACCGTGTTCTTTTGTACTTATTTTTCATTTCATCTGAACATAATATAAAAGAAACCTAATAATTAGACCTTGTGTACCAATTTACCCCCAAAAGGTTATGAAAACTAAACTGTGTGAGCAGTACATTTATTAACAAGACTCATGCATTATAGCATTAAGAAAGAAATTTCAAGACTCATGCATTATATGCATTATAGCATTAAGAAGGAAATTTCATTCACTAGCATGTCTTTTAAAAAAATGATTAAATAGTTATACTAAGATGTCTCTTTAGTAACATTTGACTTCCATGTTAATGTTTTTTTTTTTTTTTTTTCCAATCTAGTGTAGAACTTGTTACTAATTAAAATATATTGACATAACAACGTTGTATAGTTTAATCTCTATCTACTAGTGACAAATTCACCATAATAAGAGGAGTATAACAATTTGAACTTACTAGAGATGACCGTTGAAATTTATACTCTAATTTTTTTTTTACTATTGCTTATCTGATTTTTATGATGTTGTTGCACCATTCATAATTTAAATCACACTTTTGCTTATTTGAATAAAAACAGTATAACAATTTTATAATTAAAAAAAAAGAACATTTACATAACCCAATCATGTGCTTAGACACTGAAATTAATTCCCAAGGGCACGAGGAACTGCTGTAGACAAAAAGATGGCATGACACACGTGTCCTTGATTAGAAGACGTGACCCGTAGGTTTAGAAGTACTGTTAGGCTTAGACCTAGGAACGTGCCAGTTCAATGGGCAATAATAATAGAGTTCTATTATTCCAACATATTATTTTTTTACTTTTTATTTTTTCCTTTTACATATCTTAAAAATTAATACTTTATTAATGTCAAAGTAATAATAATTAAATAAATACCAACCAATGTACATAATAAACTGATTAAAAAATTAAAAGTAATTTAAAGATCATAAAAAAGTATTTATTTTTGTGATTTTTAATATATATTTTAAAAATTATATTAATTTCTTTAATAATACCTTTAAAAACTAGACTATAATAAATATTATTCTAAAATTATTGTTAAAAAAATTACTTATTTCATTAAATTTTTTTCTTCCATTGATCAATTAAAAGAAATTATATCACCTAACAAAAGTTTATGACTCTTAATAAAATGAAAAAAAATTATTAACATCAGTCCTTAGGACTAAATTTAAGCATGCATAAATAAAAAAATTATATAAAAAAAATATATAATTATTATATTAATGTTATAAAAATACAATAAATATTTTTTTAATAAAATTTTATTATTATTAACTGTTTATTCTCAACTAAGTTAATAAAATTTAAATGAAAAATCTTAATTTTGACTAAAGTAACATTAAAAACACAATTTAAATTCGTTTATTATAATTGAATGAAATAAATTTGACTTTCATTTCATTAATTAAATAAACAATGATACTAACATTATTTAATAAAAACCTTACTAATATATCATTTAACAATTAAGAACATATTAAAAACTATGTCAAAAAATTATTACTATTTTTTAATAATTTAACATTTATTATATTTTTTACTTTCATAAAATTAATAAATAATTACTTTTTAATTTTATTTTTATGAATTAACTTGTGTTTAGTTAAAAATATTTTTTAACATATTATAATAAATAAAAAATGCAATATAAAATTAAACAATTAAATTTAGAATTAAAATACTCTTTATAAGCATTGGAGTAGTCCTCTAAAAATAAAATAATTTTTAGAAGTGAAGTAGACTTAAATTTTGTTAACATAGTATTAAAGTTTATTTAATTTAAATATTGGAATATGCAATTTTATTGGGTACATCCAAATTTCATATACTAAATATCTAATATTTAGTGTGAGAAGATGTGTCAAGATATCTCACGTTGACTATAAATAAAATCAAAATATTTTATATATAAATTAAGTAATCCTCTTCTTATGAGTTAATTTATAAAAGTAAATTAAGTCTAAATTTATTTAAAAGTAATCATATTACAATATTATATTTGATAAACTTTTAAGTTTTAACTATTAATTTTAATTAAAAAATACAATTTTATAAATTTTATGTGTATTTAATTTTTTATTTTAAAAAATAAATTACATCTACTAGGAAATTATTAATTATTAATTATTTTTCTCTTTCCCTGATCTTGAAATATCAAGAGACAAGAAAATCGAATACTACACCATTAAAGCTTGTTTGTTATTTTCTGTTTTTAAAAATAATTTTTTTAAAATAAAAAATTATAAAATTTATTTTTTTAGTATAATTTTTTTATTTTTTTCTAAAAAATAAAATTTTTAAAATTATTTTAAAATATAATGTTTTAAAGTTAAAACTCAAAAGAGAATAAAAGAATTCCTTACTCTCTCACAACATTCACAAAAAGTAAAATAATTTCGTAACTTTAAGTTTCAGTGTGTCAAGATATTGGTATTTTCTTTTTCTTTTTTTCAACTGCTTTACTTGTTTCTTCTCTAGTAAAAATTGAACATGTCATAGAACTTTTGCTCCTATTTATGGACAAGAAAAACTTGTTATTATTATTATTATTTTCTTTCAAATTCATAAACTCAATTGCACATAATCTCATCTTATAGAAAAAGTTTGAGAATTACAACATGAATGTACACAAGCAATATCACAATTTAACAAGGCATCAATTGCATGCCATATCTTGCCAAAAGGAATTATTGTATCCATGTTCTCCCATGGCAAACCCATCACACACCTTTAAGGTGTTTGCAATCCCATCTCTCTCATCTCCATAAGTGTCAACACACCAACTCCTATCTTGAAATGGGGAAGATGGCATAAAATCCATGTCAACCCATTCCACCCCAAATTCACTAGATGAAGCCCAATACTCTTGCCCATCAATTTCTCCAATTTCCCATGATTGAGTTGCACCCTCTTCCATATTGCTCATAAATTCTGACCCTATGGATGTTGAATCGTGATCTCCCATCTTGCTCCCACTTATTTCAGCCTCAAAAGACCTGATCAAGCTATCTAATCGATCATCATCACTCTCATCATCAAGTAGCGACTCATCCATCAATGACATGAGAAGGGAACCGTTGATTTGCAAGACTTCCATCCCGCTGACCCCATCATCACCGTTGATGAAAGCCAAAGTCTCACAAACTTGAGAAGCCATTGTGGCGCAAATTGGTTGATTAATTGAATTCTTGTCTTTGCTAAAGAGAAAAAGGGTGAACAATATTAGAGAGAATATAGAATATGTCACAAGAGAGAGAAGGCTCAAGATACATGGGTTGAACATGAGGGAAGTGGGGCTTTATATAGGCACACCATATGGTGCCATGTCACCTCAAGAAGGAGACATGACATCCATCATGATCCAGACAGTCATGTGCACATGTGCACACAAGAAAACTAAATTATATGGATCGATTATGTTGCATATGCAATATAGCATAGAGAAAAGGTTTCCAATAAATAAAGAAAACTATGTTTATGTCTATGTCTCTATTGCTCGTGTGCTCTGGCAATAAGGACGGCTTGAAGTAAGCATGATCTTGTGGAAATCATAGAATCTGAACCCAAAACCTCAATTTTGAGGGTAGGACAAGGAAACATGAAAAGACAAAGCTTTCAGTGGATGAAATGTCAAGTTGCAATAAAGTAGGGAATAGTCCACATAGCGACTGAATTTTGCAATAAAGTAGGGAATAGTATAGAATGACTCGTTAACAGTCCATATGTGTCAAACCAGAAAGAACCACTTAAAATAATAAATAGATAAGAATAATATCAAACACATAAAGGAAGCTTCACTTGGGGCAGTGTCATTATGTTCCAAAATTATAAGAATAAAAAAAAGTACAAAATTGGGTTTAAGGTGAGGAGATGATATTTGATTATAGTTACTTGAATTATTAAATGGAAAGTTAATTTTATAACAAAGCTTAAAATTTTATTAAATATAAATAGTTAACAAGGAGAAATGCAACACTCAGTGTATATTTGTGTGATTGTATCCTCTTTTAATTGGTTAATTACTTAATTATATCATTTAGGACTTCAAATTTTGTTTCAAACTAAACTCTTAAAGCTTTTGTTTCAAATGTATTGTGTTGTTGTTCATTCGATGACCTTGTCACTAAAACGAGGTAACTAAAAATTAAATTTCTTATAGTGAGTGAATGCATGTGTGTGCATTATTAATAATATTCTCGAATTTAACTAAATAGTTAGTGTGGTGGTAGCTGATCATTGTGAGAGGTCCTTGACCCAGTGTGGTTCAGTAGTTGGGATGTTTACTCTAGAGACTTTGATGTCTAAGAGTAAACAACATTCAATATTATTTAGTATAAGAATTTTCATAAAGAAATTATAAAGAATTAAAATTATTTAAGGAGAGTCCAGAGGCGATGAACTTGGGAGGTTGTGTAGTGACTGATCTTTTATGATTGACATTGAAGTGAATCTTCTGTTATATCCAAGGCTGCCACCTACATGATGATGTAAAGTATTGACTATGTGGCACTTTGACCGGCCTGCGCTAACTGCTAAGTGCTAGGTTGCTGGTATATTATTATTATTTTTTATTTTTTTTTAAAGGTTTTTTTTATGAGAAAAATTAAAAAATTGTGTTTTTAGAAAAATTATAAAACACAATTTTTTTTAAAAAATTGTGTATTTTTAATTTTTTTAAATTATCATTGACAATTTTTTACTTTTTATAAATTTATTTTAAAATTTTAAAATTTTTAATTGTTCTATATGTTCTGTACTAAAAATTTATATTTTTGTAATTTTTTAAAAATATTATATTTTAATATATATTTTTTAATTTTATCTATCGAAAAATAAACCTCTTTTAACAGGAGAAAAATTATAAAGGGGAAAAATATTTAACATTTTAATGTAGTAGAGAGCAAAAAGAAATACAAAAAAAAATATAATAGAAAATATGACAGAAAAAAAGAAAAAGATAAAAAAACATTTATTATTTTAACAAATATTATAAAATTAAAACACTGTTTTTAATTAAAAGTTAATAGTAAAAATATTTTAAAAAGCTACAGTTAAAATTTGTCTAACATAACTGTTGTTATAAAGACTCGGAACTAGATAATATATGGAGATTGTCTTTTCCTCTCTTTAAATTCTTTAGATTTAGATAAGGCTCCAATTCAGAAGAAAAGAAAATTGGTGTCACTGGTATTGATAATGTCAAGTCTTTAGAAAATGGGTAGAAAAATCTCCATATCATCCTATTTTAAAATAGAAGGTACTGAAAATCTGGTTTGTGGGGCTCTCAAAGATTTTGGTTAACTTTTACATCTGTGTATGTAGGATTTTGAAAAGATATGCCTCCAATGAATAGTTAAGGCATGAAAGCAAGTGGACCCTATTAAACTAACAAGAGCTTGATACCCATGTTTGTGACCACCCAACTCACATTTTGATGCACATGTTGCCACTACTACATTTTATGTGGAGTTTAATTAAGATTTAGATTAGATGCCTTGAATATATCACTTTAAAATAATGGATGGTAATGAACCGAGTGCCATGTGATACGCATCCTATAGGGGCCAAACACCAATCCTTTTTGGTAAAACAACATCATTGAGTTAATGAAGCACACATAATAATATAATATATATGTGTGTGTGACAAATTAAAAAGGCATATATTTTATGTTACTGATTTGAATATTGACAACTATTGCTAATGTTTGAACTTCATGGTATGTAGCCAGAGTATCTTCTACCATGTTTTACTGCAAATGGTGGTGACTCTGCATGCCACTGGAATATATTTTAGTCAAAAGTCATTGTAGCTATAAACATGCATTATCATGAATATCGTGTTGCAACTATAATTATGCCACTCTTTTGCCCATTAGTACTCTGTACTCTTCTTGCAGCTGGATCGATCTCTGCACTTTTTTTTTTGGCTTAGTGCTCTAGCCTCACTATGCAATTAGATTAATAATGATAAAAAAAAGAAGAGCACAATTTATCACAAAAATAATTTTTAAAGCCATTTCTATTTTTTTTTTATATAGTTTTTTGCTTTTCTATTTCATTATATAATTTTTTTTATTTTTTTTTATTTTTCTATTGTTGTTTGTTAAGAATATGTTAAGTTGTATATATACACTGTTCTTTCTTGATTAATATATACGAATTATTTTCTTTCTTTTTGTTTCTGAGCTTTCATTTCTCTTTTTATGTCCTTTCTTTTATGGTATCAGAGCTGTGTAATAGTCGGAGACCGAATAGGAGCCTTGCTTTAAACTATATATTTTCTCTTGGAGCTTTGCTATATGGAGGTCACTCTGAGAGAATCGTCCTAGGAGGTCTATATTCACCATGCGGTCAAGGAATATAACACTTTGCGCAATGGGAGAAGACAATGAATTTAGTAGCCAAGACATTATGAGAGTGTTACAACGCTCCCAAGAAGGATAAATGGAATCTATGGCTACTGGTGTAGGAATGGTACCTGTCAAAAAACTCATCTTGTTTTTAGATATTAGAGCCATTCAGATTGAACGGGATTAGGAATGATAGTTGTTGCCATTCAAGGCTAGAGTGACAGAGACAAAGGATGGGTTTTCACTAGGGTGAATGTTATATGGACTAGAGGGGTCAAGACAAGGATCAAGTGGCTGGAAAGTCTTGACAGCAGTAGAATCAGAATCAAACATTGTAATAGATGTTGAGGGATTAGCAGAGCTCCAAATTCATGACGTTTTTTGTGTCCCAAATTTTAAGTTCAATATTTTTTCCATCTCCAAACTTTTATCTTCTCTCAAATATACTCTAACTTTCTCTAGATCTCATTGCCAAATATAGGAAATGAAATCATTGAAGATGATTGGTTTGATTAAGTTGAAGAATGGATTGTACTACTTAGAGATCAACAAGGATGTTAGTTATACTCTCCATAAAGCTTCCTTCATCAATAATTTTTCCACATCACCCATCACTAACTCTAACCTTTGGCATTTTAGATTAGGTCACCTTTTCGGAAACCGTCTTAACGTTCTTCATTCTAGTTTTCCTTTTATTTCAAGACATGTTGAAGAAAATTGTGACATTTGTCATTTAGCTAAACAAAGAAAATTGTCCTATTCTTCAAGTATTAATAAAGTTTCTAATATTTTTTATTTACTTCATATGGATATTTGGGGTCCATTTTCACAATCCTCCATTCATGGTCATAAATATTTTCTCACCACTGTAGATGATCATAGTCGATACACATGGATAGTTTTATTAAAATCTAAAGGAGAAGTAAGATCACATATCCATAATTTTGTCACCTTAATTGAAAATCAATTCAACACCGGTATTTAATGCATTCGCTCTGATAATGGCCCAGAATTTTTTCAAAAAGATTTTTTTCTTCTAAAGGAATTATTCATCAAACAAGTTGTGTCTATACTTCCCAACAAAATGGATGGGTTGAATAAAAACACCAACACATCCTTAATGTTGCTAGAGCCTTTATGTTTCAATCCCAAATTCCAAAACATCTTTGGTTATATGCCATAAAACATGCGGTTTACTTAATAAATCACTTTCTATCCCCCATAATTAATAATCAAACTCCCTTTAAATTGTTACATAAGCAAAATCCAAATTTTTCTATGTTACAAATTTTTGGTTATCTGTGTTATGCTTCAACACATCTTTTTCAACAAAATTTTGATACACGTGCTAGACGTGGTATTTTTTTGGGTTTTCAAAAGGGCACCAATAGATATGTTATTTTAGATTTAAACAACAGAGAAATATTTGTGTCCAAAAATTTGTTATTCAATGAATTAGTTTTTCTTTATGCTAAAATTGTCATTGGTTTATAGCCCAATAACCAAAACCCATTTCAAAACCACCATTTCCCTAACACAAGTTTTCTTGATCACGCCATCCCACAATACTATAGCCCAACATCATCCCACCTCTTCCTTCTGAAATAGTACCCAACACCTCATCTCCTTCCTCTCCTTCCCTTCCTAGCTCATCGCCTACTCTGATTAGCTCACCTTCCATGCCTTCTCCATTGTCTTCTCCACCCGCACCACAACCCCAACCAACCTGCCGCTCCAATCGTCCCCACCACTGTCCCATCTACCTCACTGATTACGAGTGTAACGCCTACCCCAGCTCTTCACTCTCTGCTTCAATAGCTTCAAACCAATCAACTACAAAGATTTCATATCTTGTACAAGCTTTGGTCGATTATTCCTGGATTTCTCCATCCCGCTCTCACTTTCTCATGAGCTTGTCCTCTGAACAAGAACCATCAACATATCGTGAAGTTGTTAAACATCCTTGCTGGCAGGAGGCTATGAAAGCTGAGATTCAAGCTTTAGTTCAAAACCAAACATGGGATATTGTCCATACCCCTCCTAATGTGAAGTCAATTAGTTGTAAGTGGGTATATAAAATCAAGCATCGTCTTGATAGTTCATTAGATCGTTACAAGGTGCTGTTAGTGGCTAAAGGCTACTCCCAAATTGAAGATATTGATTATCTAAAAAAAATTTCTCCAGTGGTCAAGATGAGCACAATTCGAGTTTCCCTGGTAATAGCCTCCATCAATAACTGACATCTACATCAACTTGATGTCAGTAATGCTTTTCTTTATGGGGGCTTAAATGAGGATATAAACATGCTTATTCCACCAGGACTCAATGGATATCATCCATCTCAGTGCTGCAAATTAAAAAGATCACTTTACAGTTTGAAGCAAGTTAGCCGAAAATGGTTTGAAAACTTGTCTAATTTGTTACTGTCCTATGGATACCAACAAGCTCACGTTGATCACAGTCTTTTCACTAAAGCCACATGTTTCACTTTTACTGCTTTAATCATTTATGTTGACGATATTGTTCTAGCTGGAAATTCCATTGTTGAAATTGACAAGATCAAACACATTTTGCAGTCTAACTTTCATATCAGAGATCTAGGAAAACTAAAATATTTTTTAGACATTGAAGTAGCCCATTCATCCTCTGGCATCTCTTTATGCTAGAGAAAATATTGTCTGGACTTAATCACAAATGCAAGCCTTCAATGTTCTAAACCATGTTCTACACCAATGGACAACTCGCTGCGTCTTCATCATGATTCTAGTGAACCTCTTGCTGATCCCTTATCTTATAGACGTTTGGTTGGTCGTCTAATTTATCTCACTAGTACCTGGCTAGACATCAGCTTGCAACCCAATAACTTAGTCAACTCATGGTTGCCCCTACTCATTCCCATTATCAGGATGCTTTGAGAGTTGTCCGTTATCTAAAAAGTTGTCTTGGTAAAGGCCTCTTCTTCAGCAAAAATTCTTTATCTCAATAACTTGTCTTCAGTGATGCCGATTGGGCCACATGTGTTGATACATGTCGTTCTATCAATGGCTAATGTTTCTTCATTAGAAGCTCACTGGTTTCTTGGAAAACTAAAAACCAATCTACGGTCTCTTGTTCTTCTGCTGAAGCTGAATATCGAGCTCTAACATCAATCATATGTGAGCTCTAATGACTGTTTTATCTACTTAGAGACTTATGGGTTACCTATGCTAAGTGTGTTGCATTATACTGTGATAGTTAAAGTGCCCTTTATATCGCTGCAAATCCAGTATTTTATGAATGAACCAAACACTTAGAAATTGACTGCCACGTAGTTCATGAAAAGCTCCTCTCCGGACTAATGCACCTCCTTCCGGTTTCATCTTCTCATCAGCTTGTCGATATATTCACTAAATCCTTGCCTCCAAAATTGTTTCACTCCAATCTTTCCAAGCTTGAGCTTCATGATATCTTTGAACCTCTAACTTGTGGGAAGCTAAAAGAAGAAGAAGAAGAAGAAGAGCACAATTCATCACAAAAATAATTTTCATAGCTTTTCTTTTTATCTGGACATTTTTTCCTTTTTTTGTTTCATTATACAACTTTACCATTTTGTTTTCTTTCTTATTTTGTTTTTTTCTCTACTGTTGTTTGTTAAGAATCTGCTAAGTTGTATCATTTTCTATTATCACTTTTTGTCCTCTTCCTTGATTTGAGATCACATAGATTGTATATATATACTATTCTTTCTTGATTAATATATACGAATCATTTTTTTTCTCTTTGTCTCTGAGCTTTCATTCCTCTTTTTTGCCTTTTCTTTTAAATGACCTTGATTGATCTATAATGCATTAGTGTATTTTTAGTCTTCATTAAAATATCAAAGTTTTAGGAAATTGATTATACGTAATTTCTACTATAAATACCAATGATTTAAAAATTAAATTGGTGATTGAATTGATTAAGATATTAGTTCAGTTATAGTTGAATAATTGTTAATTCAGCAATAATTACATATACTCAATATAAATTGAATATAAAGTTACAAAGAAAAGGCCGGTGAAATTTTAAATTAACATAAAATGACTATATGTAAGATAAAAAATAATAAACAAGAAACTAAATAATAATAGTTCACAGATAAACTCCATATATAGATAGATCATTACAACTTGATATTAGGTCTTCATTTGTTTAAAAACTATTTTAGTTGGATAAATTTTTTTAAAATTAATAGAACCGAAATTCAAACTAGTTCATCATCATTAGCTTTGGGCTTAATTTGACCGATTCTCACCAATTTTAAGATCAGTTAAATTTTGGAAATGAGATTTGGCCTAATTTTTTTTTATCTAAACAATAACAAATATAATTCATGAAAAGAAAAAAAGCATCTTCTTGTTTGAAAAAAAAGATCTTGATGACAATATATCTGCGATTAGTTTGATATATGTCGTTCTAATCCAATTTTTTTCAGTCAATTGGTTATTCATTATATATAATTATTCCTTGCATGTATTCAATAAAAACATTGACCTAATATATAAATAAAATTTGATCTATCAATGTCAATCCTCTATTTCTTTTTTTTTTTAAGCTTTACCAATTAAATTAGTTGGCATAGTCATATCATTCTAATTCTTTTATTTGAATATGTTATGCATTTCATTTAATATTATGAAAAATTGGGCTGGCATATTATACGGTAAATGTTATATGCTTGAATATCTTTGCCGTATAATATGCGAGTCCAAATATTCATAATGTTAAACGACATGCAGAACATATTCAAAGAAATAGAAAACATGTAACAAATATATTTCTTTCAAAAGGATATATTGTCGTCAAGTTTATGGATCATCAGTCAATATTAATAATTTTATTTGCCGAATAGGATAGCCAAACAGCTTTGAAGATAAATATTCAAAATGCTTGTATTCAATTTTCATTTAGAATAAAGTGTATTGTTTCCTTTTTAATGTTTTCTAAGGTCGATCAGTTGCAAAGTTATTTACTTTGAGTTAATTATACTCTTTCAGAGAGGAACAAATTATTATTTTGGGAAAACTATACAAAATTAAGTCAGTACGAATTAACTAATGATAAAGAGAGTTTATGTTAATTTGTGGGTCATAAATTCAGATTATTATTGTACTGTAAGAAAAGAAAGAAAGAAAAATGCTACTCAGGAAATATATATCAGTCTCTCTTGTACATGCAAGTGCGAGGAACCGATGAAAATCCATTCTAATTTTCAGCTAGGTAATTACATGTAAATAAAGGGAGAGAAAAGGTAAACAAAAGATAAAATTAGAAGCTTTGGTAACATGTACTTGAGGACTTTTCACAAATGTAACAAGCAATCCGTGTTCACTTGATTACTTGTATTTCCTAATATGATATTACAATTAATTAATTAATTAATTTCAGAATACTGCATCACTTGGCCCTTGTGACAAATAAGTCTCTCTATATTGTTGCTCCAAGAAAACACCATAACACAACTGAAAATCATCATTTTCAGCTTCATATTCCATTGCAACATGCTCCATCATCTCATCTCCACTAGGTATCCATGCATTCATTTCATCAAAGGGTAAGGAAGAGATCAATTCCATATCAACCCAATGATCAGGGCCACTCATTGATGTGGAGCAATATTGATCGTCCACGTGTCCCATCTCATACACTTGATCCAATTCAGGGTCATTGATCTCTGCCTCCAATGACTGAATCATGCTTACAAGTCTATCATCTCCATAGTACTCATCTTCCTGTGTTTCTTCCATTAGAGACATGAGAAGCACATTGTTGGCCTCTGAGAACTCAATTCCTAATTCAAAGACACCCTCTGAAGAAGACATTTTTAGTGACTTTGTAGTGACCCTTTTTACTTTGGTTTAGTGATTTGGTTATAGTGAGAGAACTAGAAGCAATAAAAGATATGGAAGATGCAAGATGGCTTTGAAGGGTGAAAAAGGGACCTTTATATAGGCAAATGCATGACACACTGATTAATACAAGGAGGGGTTGCTATTGCTTGTTGCTACTGTAATCCAATCAATAATTAATAAACTATGTAATGAAAGATAAGATTCATATAATTGTGATAAGATAATGTTCATATAATTATGATGGAAAAAATTATTAAAACTTTTGACCCATTGATGTCTACTTGTCGAACAACAGAAGGCATAGTTCCAGGAGAGCAAAATATGGTACTATGCTAGCTATAATGCACCCACTAATGGTTGCAACTGTGGGGCATAAGAAACCAGACAATATGCCTACCTAATGACCAATAATAAAGGAACAAAGTTAATTAAGTTTGTAAGGAATTTGTAGGAGCCACCCATAATTAATAATTTGTAGGAGTGTCGGCTATGTTTGGAAACCACAATGTGACGATGCTAGAAAAGAAATGGGATATGATTCGATATTTGAATTAATATAAGAAATTTCAATGTCAAATAGTTCTTGAAGAATGAAATTATCATTTCTTTTTAAGTGGACATCATGTACCTTACAGCGACTCTATTATAATCCAATTGACGGAATAAGAACATGGGAAATGGAGCATCAAATCCCCCACTCATTAATTAGTCAATTAGGTACCCTCGATCATAAACATCAAGAGTTTATTATACTAGTTGAAATTACAGATATAAGTTTAAAATATTTTATTTTAATAGAATTTCTGTAAAATAAATTTTTAAAAGTAAGTAAGCTTTAAAAGTTTATTTAAAAATTTTATAAATAACTTATGAAACAATTTATAAATTTTTCAACATAAAGAAACTTTTAAAATAAATTTAATAGTTAAGTTTAAGATCATCGTTAAAAAAAAAAAAACACTTATTATACATATATCTTTCTTACATGATATTTTAAATATGGAGTTTATTTAATGATAAATAGTAAATTTTGCAATGCATATTGACAACTATCACTTCAATAACTAGTAAGATTGGAAATGTGGATTGAAATACCATGTGAAGTGATTTAGAATCACGCTGGCAAAATAATTGGTATGATGTCGAAATCTCTTTGAAAGCTTCATTGAAGATGCGTCACATATATACACAGAACCACCGGCAAGCACACAAGGCACTTATGTGTAAGTAGTTCTTGAAAGGGGTAAGCACAGCAGGCACCCACATGGATGGGTTCAACTTTGCAGATTCCATGTTTGTTTGGTATGAAACCAAAATTTGTACGATTAGTCCCATCTGTATATGTATTATAATATCAGTTACATATGTCTTCTGGTTTTAGGGAGAAAAGTCTTTAATTTGTAGGGGTAGGTGTTACGTGTTGTGTTTGTATATGCATGTGTTGGCCATAATTTGAAATGACGTAAAATTTAGGTGTTTGTGCACGAGGGGGTGTGAGTTAGGTTGAAAGATTTTCATCCCCTAGGCTCACGTGTACCTTAGAATAAATGAAGTATTAAAATGTTAATAATTTAGTATGCATGTATATATATGTATAATTTCTATTTTTATTAGAAAATTAATCATTTAAATTTTAATAGATTTATAATTTATTATACATGTAGATATATTTAATCATTAATTTTTAATAAAAATTATAATCATATTTTTATTTAAAATACATCGGTCCTTCGCTTTAAGGAATTATTTAGTTTATAATTAAAAAATAAATTGTGATTCAATTTGAATTGAGAATGGTCACTAAATTTGTGTTGTGATTCCCATAGAAAAGATCAATGCTACCTCTTGAGATGAATGGAGCTAAACGCGCATTTGACTTGCTGCGTATGGTTGAGATCAATCTTAGGTCTAGTGACCAAAGATCCACAGGTTGAAACAACCAAAAGGGATATCTTTGCAATGTGGATTGCTCATACAATCCCAATTCATCAAAGTTTTGGTGTGACGAAATAAAAATGATTTTTGTGATCGAAAAAGGAGATAAGGTGGGAAAAAGGAAATGAAAATTTTTTAGGAGAGAAAGAGAAAAAATTATGGTAAGTTACATGTTATCTCATTTATATTAATTATTTGTTTTAATATATTTAATACAACTTATTTAGTTTTAGTAAATTTTTTTAAATTTTCAAATAAAAATTTATATAAGTTTAACGACTGTACAGTCGTTTTTGACTCGTTAAAAAAAATAAGAAACCTAATAGGTTTACAAAACTTAAAATATAATTATAGTTCTTAAGATACTAAATTAATTTTTTTATTTTTTATTAAAATAAATGAATAATCTGTTAAAGAAATACAATAATTTAGTTGAAGAAAATTATTATAATTATATTTAATTTTCATAAATTTAAACATTCTTTAAATCTTTACAACCTTAAAAATTTGACATAATGAATTATTTAGTTAATTTGTTAATTTATTAAAATTTCAACAAGCGGTATTAGAGTTACACTAAAAAAATCGTTTATTAGTGGTGGCTAACTTATAACATGTTAATATTCTAAAATATGAAATAAAATCATTAAAAAAACTAAGATTCTAAAATATCTTAAAAAAGAGAAAAAAAAATTACACGCACATAAAAAAATTACAAAAATATAAAACCAACACATTTATATTATTTTAAATAAAAAAGTTATAAATCTGTAATATATAGGCTCAATATATGCTAAGTCGTAAAATATTAAAATACTTTATATGAAATTAAATCGTAAAAAATAAAAAAAATATATACTAATATAATTTCTTTATAGGCAAAATTCTGAAGAAATAAAAAAATATTATTATAACAAAGTAAATCAGATTTTGAAAAATCTTGAGTAATATATAGTGAATAATTATTATGACTATCAAAATTAGAAATTAATAGTAAAGCAATATTATCACAGTTAGACAAGATAAACATTTGTTTAAAAATATTGTTATGGTTCAAAATGAATAATAAGATAAATTAGAAGAGTATATAAAAAAAGTAATGATAAAATATTTTAAAAGTCAGAAAAGATATTATATATTATATATTATTGCTGAAAGCAAAAATATAAACTTTCTATATTGTGAAAAGTAAACCTATGAATGGATAAAAGCTAAAAAAAAGTTTTAAACTAATTTAGTAAGATTGATCTAACTTAGACATAATGTAGGTTAAGTTATAGAATATTAAAATAGTAAAATATAAAATGAAATTATAAAAAATATGTTAATAAAAGGAATAATAGATAAATTTTTTTTAAATAGTTACTTTTTATTATAAGAAAGGAAATTATTTTTTTTTTACTCATAAGTAATACATAGAAAATAATTATTATGATTATCAGAATTAGAAAATAATAGTAAAATAATATTGTCATGGTTACAAAAGATAAAAAATAATTTAAAAATATTGTTATTGTTCAAAAAAAATAACAGTATTTTCTTATTTATAAATACATTGATTACTCACGGTTTATACACTGAGGGGATTAAGAGGGATTATTTTGCCAATCTCCTTATGAAAAGTAAGGATCTGTTACTGTGATCAGTGAAAAAAAAAAAAAAACAGCACCGATCAATAAAAAGGGATGAAAAATGGAACGACGGCGTAACGACCCAACCATCACTGCAACAAATCGAAGAAGTTCGCTTTGGCGAGCGATGGCGACGCCAGGCTCAGCCGCCGCCGGCGGAGGCACGGCGAAGGCGATGGTGGCGGAGCAAATCTCTCAGGCGGTGCAGTCCACCTCTAATCTCCTTCACCTCATGCAACACTCTTCTCCTCCCCAGGTACCAACATCAACACAAATTGAAAAAAAAAAAAACAAAAACAAAAACCCTTTTTTAATTTCATCAAAATTTCAAAATAAAAACAATAAAAGAAACTAACTTTGCTATAGATAATGAAAATTTGATGTTAGATGGATTAAGTCTTGATTGTTGTTGAATGATCTTTTGACATTTGACCCTTTTTGCTTCATTTGCAGACTCAACTCATTAAGCTTCCTAAGAACCTTTTGGCAAAGGTTCCCATCATCAAGAATACAGAGCAGGTATTCACATCTAGTTATATGATGCATGGTAGTAGTAGATGACTGTGAAACAATGTGCAAAATGTGGAATGAATAATGATGTAATGATGGTTCTGTTTTTTGTTTTGCACAGGTCTTAGAGCAGTTGCCAGGGGTAATATCATCTCTGGATGCACACATGGAAAATGGGTTACAAAAGTTAGAACCTTTTTCTTCTTCTCTAGTTGAAATATAATGTGTTGTTGTCATCTATTTTGAACCTAGGGTGCAATGTGAAGTGTTATGAGCTTAAACCTTGTGTTAAACTGTTCATTATTCATGTTAAGTATATTGTGTTGATGCCTAGTCATTGAGGGGAGCTCGTTCTTTTTTCTTAGTGTTTCTAGATTTTGAGTAGACAGAGTCGAAAATTGGTGGATAATGTGCCATTTGTTTTGTTTATGCCTGATGTGAGTTATAAATTTGCAGTGTTCCACATCTGAAGACTGTGGTTCAGTTACTTTCTAATATGGAAAGTAGCCAGCTTAGTACGCTCTCCCGAGCCCCTCCTTTCCAGAAGGTATAAATATAAAAGCGTTGCTATTGATGCAGTTATGAATATTACGTTACAATTGAAATTGAAGTTAACTTTTGGAGTGTATGTTCTGATGGGAGAAAGCTAGGAACAGAAAAGCTTGACAGCAAGGTTTTTTTTGTGTTTGGACTTACATTAAGAACCCGTACATTTTTTTCACAGACGCTTCAGTGTAGTGCTAAGATTGATGTGGATCCATAGTTTTCTGAGACATATAACCAAACATGCACTTTGTTGTTGTTGTTCTAGTGCTATCTACAATGAAACCTTTCACTACCAGGGAAAAATGAAAGGAAGAAAGAAAATCATAAGAAAAGTCTATGCATGAGTGAGGTCAAGTTTGTGAATGACTTTGGTACTATGTGTGTGTTATCATTTTCAATTATTTTCCCCTATCAGGAACTTGAACCAGGAAACCAATCTCAAGGGACAGTTCAGTGAAACTTGTGTTGCTTAGGAGTTTCACCCCTGATCAATTGATGCAGAATTTTTGGAAGGTTAGGAACTGTACAGATTGTCCTTGAATTCTTCATACCAGCTGTGTTCTTTCTTGGAGTCTTCTTGCAAATCAAATAACAAAATGATGTTCCATCTTCTGATAAAATGCATGGTTATTCAAGTGGGGAAACCTGTTAAATGCTGATGACAATGTGCCCAATTTTTAGATTGGGAATCTTGTCAAAAGAATTCAGGGTTATCTGTAATATGTAGGGTGTGTGTGTGTGTGTGTGTGTGTGTATCTTTGAGTTACAAACTTTTGAGTATATAATTTAAGGCTGAGTATTGATGGATTAACAAGGCTATTTGTAATGTGTGTGTGCGCAACTCTATGGTGGATTATGATTTCATCAAATGTTATGTGCTAAGTGATGCATAATAAGTTTTGTCCTTATAATGGAACGAACCATTTCCATAAAAGCAGAGAAAATACTTCTTTGATGGCACTTCTACTCCCCAAGAGACAGCACAAATGTTACATCCCAGTCTTTATATTCTGATTTTTATCAATAGAAAATTCTATTATTATTTGTTTTTCTTTTTATGAGAAACATTTTAATGTAGAGAAAGAATAAGGAATTATAAATTCAACACTAAATTTTCATGTCGTAGATATAGTTAAAGACTTGCACAATGGTTAACAAGATATAACATTAAAGCACGCAAATGAAAATATTGTCTTATACTAATTTGATAATTTTGTTTATGGTAAAAAATGACGGTTTGTAAACAAATAATTTAATATCAATCTGGGGACTCGATTAGGTCCTTTTTGGATTTTTTTAAGTGTGTTGTTAACGTAACGGTGAAATAGACGTAAAATTTATCAAGAACAATGAATATAAAATACATAAAACTGAATCACAGAGTAGATGTTTTTAACAAAAATGTACTAAACTGGAACTAAATTGCATATAAAGAAATAAGCAAAAGGAATAAAAATTAAACTGCAGAAAGGTAAATGTGCGGGAAAGTAAACGTACGATTCCTCACAACAATGAATAACGACCACTGTGAGTCTCCTGGTAGCTAGTGTCTGGAGCGATACAGGGTTTCAACGGTTAAAGATTTTGAGTGCGGTGTCTAGGCACAAAAAGTTGTCCTCTAGGAAGTGAAGCTTTAAAGTATTTATAGGCAAAGAGCATTGTTGTTATCCTCCTTTGGCGGACACTTCTTAATAACTGTCTTCAACTGCTGATGTCCATTATCCACGATGGCTTGTGATCATGCTATTGGTTGAGACTTTTCCTGTAATTGCTATCGCCCACGATCTGTCTTCATATTGTTGAACCTTTGTCTAGTGGTAACTGCTGGTAATTGTTGGCAGTTGCTTTTGAACGTTACAATTTCTTGAGTCCTATTAGGACTTTTTATTTTTTCTCTTTCGAACAATTTTTGGGAAAAATCTAGAAGGCTTATTTAACATTATGGCCTTAAAATATTCCTTTTGACTTCCATTTTTGACTAATTCTAGGAGTTTTAGAGTTCATCTTGACCTCGTGGACTTCGAATACTTTTTTTTATCATTCCTATTTTTCAAGCGATTCTGGAAGGAATATGAGACTCAACTAGATTTGTGGACTTGAAATATTTTCTAGTCACTTACTGATTTTCGAGCAATTTTGGAGAAGATCTGGAGCTCTGTCAGGCTTGTGAACTTGCAATATTTTTTGGTCATCTTCTGTTTTTTGAATAATTTTGTGTGTTAGGAAAAAAAATCCTCAAAAACTCCTTGAAAGACTTTCAGTCCTGAGGACTTAGAAAATTTTTCTGTTATCTCTGTCTTTTGAGTCATTTTGTGTCAGGGACTTAAAATTCCTCAAAAAACTCCTCGAAGAGACTTTTAGTCTTATTTTTCGAGCAGTTTTGGGTGTAGGGAACCTAAGGGCTACTAAAAAACTTCTCAAAAAATCCTCTTGTCTTGTGAACTTAGAATAATTTCTAATTATTTTTATTTTTTGAGCAGTTTTGGTTATTCTCAATCCAGAGGCCAAGGTATTCTTGAAAACACCTCGAAAAAGACTTTTAGTTTTGTGGACTTGAAATAATTTATTACTTTCGTTTTTCAAGCAGTTTTGAGAGAAATCAAAGATGTGACAAAAACTTCTAAAACTATTCAAAATTTACCTTTTTCGAGTAATGGGTCTAATCCATCTTTTAGTGCTCCTTGGATTCGAGTTTACTTTTTGTCCAGGAAAGAAGTCCCTTCTCTGACATTTTAAAACTTGTCAAAATGTTGCTTCTTTCAATGTGATTTTTTAATTTAGAAAATTTTTCTTACCCCAAACAAATTTATAATTTGTTTTGTGTCTAACCTATATCATGTTATGAATAAGTAACAGGGGGTTATCCTTGTATGACCAGAGATTCACTTGAATGAAACCACTGGCCGAAGGAAGAAAGGAAAAGTTAAGCCTTAAAATTTAAGAAAATATTGATAATTAGAATGTTTTTATAAGGCGATATTTAGAAAGTTTTAGTAATTATAAGATATTTTATAATTTTTATCACTTATTTATTATTTTTATTTTTATTTGCCTCTAATATTTATTCATTTAATATTGTTTTAGTAAAACAATATTAAATGGGATAAAATTTACATGTAATGTTTTTTTTATAAGAAAATTTTATTAATTATAATTATTGTTATTAATTTGTGTAATTTAATTAATGACGTTTATAGAAAGGGTAGGAGAAGTATTCGGGAGAATGATACACTGAATGAGAAGTCAACTAAGGCCAAAAATCAATATGTGGATGCTCTTCTCATTAATTCATTTCAGTAGTGCCATAAACAGCAGAATTGCAAAGTTGACACAGCTGAAGGTTTTTTGTAATTGTATAGAAAAATATTGAGACTGCTACTTGAATACCAATATTCATTTGTCGTTAAACAATTTGGTCACCAACCTCCTCATGGAATTATCAAGCGTAATTTTGTTCATGAACTTGGCGATTGATCAAACCTTTAATCGTTTAGTTTCTCCAATAAATGCATTGATGTTGCTCCACCACTAAGTTCTATATTAGTAAGCCTCTTTGATATTCTGTTTCCTACTTCAGCATTCTCCTACTCAAAGCAAACAAAATAGACCGCATTGATGTATCCCATATGTGAAGACGAAATTATTGTTGCTAGGATGTACCTTGTGAGTTGGGTCACTAGTCCATAAAGTCTTGGCCCGTTTCAAGAGCCCAATTGGAGATTACTTGTACAGCTTGGGCTGATCGGAAATTACACTTGCTAATATTTTTCTTTTGACGAAATAACTTATTTATAAATAATTTTTCTTCTTATTTATAAATATTTAAAAATAAGAAATAACTTAACAGATCACAACTTCTCTTCTTTAATTTTTCTAAAATATTATTTAAGTTTTTTAAAATATAATTAAATAAAAGACCCAAATAGCATAAAGTTGAGCCAGCAATATTTTAAAGTATTGTAAGCCTGCAATTAATTGGAAAGTTATTTATCTTTGACAAAATAAATATAATTTTCTTCATCTTTTAGTGAGGAATGACTAAGTGACGAATGATCATTACTCATACATTATTCCTTCCGTCCAACTACTCCAACTTGTCAAATTCAACGTAGCTCAAATGGGTAAGAAAACATGCATTGAAATTGACATTTCTTCATGTATTAACTTTTTTGTAATATATACATAAATATTTAAACAAATATTCAATTACGTATGAAACCACGTCAAATTTATAGAAAATCAATACAAGTGCATACAGATAAACACGTGAATTATATAATCAGGATGCGTGACTCAAATGATTATTAAACAAGTACTGGGCTTACTCAAAAAAGCATATAATAAAGACTCATTGTCAGTCTTTGAAAACAAATTATTCAATTAAATTAAAAGAAAGAAAAATAATAAGCCAAAACAGTACTTATTTGATGCATACAAAACTCGTCATCGTGATTTAGATCTAATGGAATTTTTTTTAATCAAATTTATCATAATAGCATTCAACCACAATAATTACATCCACATGCCCCAAGCTTCAAATTTTAACAATGATGTAAAAATAATTGTTAATTTCTGGGAATTTTTTTTCCCAATTTCCAAGCCTCTTATCACTGACATTGTAATATTCGGAGCAAAGGACTGTCACGGCTCTGTCACATCACATGTCTCAGATCAAAAAAGTTGAATATTATAATAATTTTCTTTGTGACAATTCAAAATTCGCCACTCTGAGCAACAATTATGCTCTTATTAATGCATCACCCGTACACGTGGCATCCATGACAAATCATTGGGAACATCATCCAAATGTGTCCCACATAATCATCCAACGATCAGAAATGCATTGTCACCATCAACGGGACAGATTTTTCCACGTGTATGGTACTTATGAAGGTTCCTTCTGAGCAGGCACAGGTTAGTGTTTCCCAAAACGTTAAAGAAAAGGTGGGAGAGGGTGCAAAGTTGTGAAGTGAGGAAGAAGGTGTGTTGAGGAGGGAATCAAGGAATCTTTTGAAGGAGGAAGAGAGTGAAGAGGTGAAGTGTTGGTGGGTTTTGCTTAGATTTCTTCTTTGTGTTGAAGGTATGCTCAAAAGTTTCCAACTTGCATTGCATTGTTTAGTGCTGTTGCTTTCTTGTACGTGAATCTCAGATTAGGAACATGCATTAGCTTTTCTGGGTTTTCCCTCATTTTTCTGGAAAAATTGGATTTTTTAAATTTATTTTTCTGGTTTTATGTGGAACCAGAGTGTTCTTTTTTCTTTTTTTTTAATGGGGGTTGAAGTTTGTTATTTAGAAAGAAATTGAAAAAAAAAAATTGGTTGGTTAAGTGGTTTCTTTTGGTGAAAGCATCTTTTTAGGTGGAGGGTTTGTCCCATTCTCTCTACACAACTGTGGAATTGGGTTGTTCACTTGTTTTGGTTGTGTTTTCCTTAAATGGGTGTTTGTTGAATATAAAATTGGGGCAGTGGGCACACAAAGGTAAGAGATTTTTTTTTTTATAATTCTCATTGCTTTGTTCTTTGCAATCATTGTTCTTTGACTGTTGACATATTTGTGTGTTGGTGAAATGATATTTAATGAGAGCATTTTTTTTTTTTTTTTTGTTGAACTGGATGATAAACATGGCAACTATGTCGATGGCTGTTGAATTTCCTGTCAAACTTTAAAGCAAGTGTCACCTATTTATTTTTGCAGTTAGTTTTTTTTTTCTCTTCTACAAGTAAATTTGTAATTCAGGCAAACTATTCTTACAATATGTTGTAAGATGAACAAGTTTGGCAACACTTTTTTGAGTTAGTTATCTTTGATGTAAAAGATTTAAGTAAGCCTGGATTTCATCCGGTTATAGTGTTATACAGGGTAGGTGATGAGGTTACTCCAAGAAGGATAGGTTAACATTATTGACTGTTTATTTGTTTTGAAGTTAAACTAAACTGAAATAATTAATCTAAACGTTTACTTTCATAAGTGTATCTGAAAAGCAAAATAATACAGGCTTGAGGCCTCAGTTCCTCCATTATAACGGACAGGAAATACTTTAGTATCAATGCCTAAGACTCTAACATAAGGTGCTTAGGTGAAAATTATGATTCTGGTTCATTTTACAAGTAAATCTGTAATGCTTTATGGGACAATTGAAAAGTTGTTGATTAAGTGCCCGATTCATTATTGGAAAACCTCAGCACACGAGATTGAAGTAGATGATTCTTGGGACAGGTTTGAATGGTGGGCCATGAGTTATGCTGCACTTGAAGTTTCTGGTTACCTAGATGCCGTTTACTTAGACTTTTAGGGGATCATATTCTGATTTGTGATTTGGGAGGAAACTGGACATGAGTATGCTTGTGGGGATATGCTCGAACCGCGTGAATCTGATATACCTGTCCTGTTTCTGGTCCTGGTTGTACTTCCGTTGGTGGCTTACATCTTACTTGGAAAATGGAGTGAGACAACTAAGAAGAGAGATAGGATAAATTTACTTGCTCAATTGGCTGCTGAAGAATCTCTGAGAGCAGAAGAAATGGCCGTTGCCGATGTACTCCCTCCAGTGTCTTCTTCAAAGAGTGAACTTCATGGGTGTGCTAGGTGCTCTGCTCCTGCGAGAACTCGCTGCTCAAGATGCAAGACTGTTAGATATTGGTAATTCTTTTAACTGATTTGAGCTGCAAATATGTTTTCCTTTACCCCCTTTTGTTTTTGTAAATGAATTGTGTGGCTTTGAAATTTGAACACTCATCACAATATCTGCCAAGGGAATTAGGATAAATGCTTGGGAATTAGATTATAGTTATAGTTTTATACTAAGCTAAGTGAAAATTGAAAAGTACACTGCCTAAGGAATTTTGCTCAATTAATTATCAGATAGGTAACATCCACTCAGCTTTTCCAATTGCTATGAAATAAACCCATGGCTATGGAAATTTGTACTTGTCCAAGGAAATGTGCTAGTTTTTAGAATGGTTCTCTTGTTGGGAATTTGCTAAATTTTTGCTTTTGCTGGAACAACTCTTTGGGTTTTGTTTCTCCATGACACTTTGCATAAGAGTTTTCATGTTTAATACTTTAACTAATGGAAATGAAGTGGAATGGAACTACAAAATTTCATTCCTATATGGAAGAGGGGCAAAAGGGGAGGGGGAGACAAGTATTATTGTAACCTAAATTTAACAACTGTCCTATCTATTCGCTTATTAACTTTCATTTATAGTATGATTGTTGGGGAAAATGTTGTGTTTTTGACCCTAAGGTTCTTTATGAAAAATTGAGCTTTAAGTGGTTTGCAGCTCTGGGAATTGTCAAATAATCCATTGGAGGCTAAGTCACAAGCAAGAATGCCAGCAATTGGAGACTCATAAACCAAGTTCATTTCCTCTGGGTATTTCAGTTGAGGATTTTGCTCATGGGAGTGACTTTTATGAAAATTTGAACAACCAGTACTTTGCTCACAGTTTGACTTTAAGGGAGAATGCACCTTTGGACAATTTGGTTCACCCTCTGACAGGCACTGGTGCTTATGCTACAGTTGATTTTTCCCTATTCAACAATCCCCAACCTTCCACTTTTGAAAGAAGAACTTCCCATAAATCCAACAGAGAAACACGTAGAAGAGATAATGGGTCCATCTATGAGTCTTATGATTATAAAGCTAATGGTTCTCTCTCTTCAAATGTGGCATCAAAGGAGGCATTTATGAGACCGAAGGTTTATTTATTATACTTTGATATCCATTTGGGTACATTTTATTTTATAAAATAATAAATCAATGTTAATCTCTGATCATGATGCCTAACTTTGCTACAGTCAAGAAATAACGATGATTCTGTGTTGGAGGAAGAAACTTCAAAGGTCAATTCCTGTGGCATTGGAGCTTATGTTCCCGAACAAGATGTATTAAGAGGCACGATCCATGACGATGATAACTATCAATGTCAATATGGAAATGCATTTGTAACAACAAACAAATATGAACGCTTAAGTAATTCAAATGCTGCAAACAATGATGAATGTGTAGATGAATTTGAATCAGACATTGCCACTAAAGCAGGAAATGTAGTCAAAGGGGGAAATTATCATTCTGATGATGCGGCACAGTTCAAATGCTCTCCAGAAATAACAATTAAAGGAAATGTGAAGGCTAAAAAGATATCACATCCTCCCAAGGCCAAATGTTCTAAATCACCAAAGCCAACATTGAAGACATCGACAGACTTTTGTTGCCCAGAATTAGAGAAGAAAGGGAAAATTGCAGATGAACAAAGTTAGTATGAAATATCATTTTTCCCAATATTTGTTGTCTTAATGTCAATGGATTCAATAATTTGAGTTCACTATTGATCCTATATTAAGGTATTTTCATTTTGTGATTACTGATTAGAATTCTTTTGAAAATACAATTCTGTGATCATCATGCAGAAGTTGCTGGAATCAGAGATAGCATCCCTTTACATGGTAGCAATGGGACTGCAAGCACTGGAATTATGAAAATGATTGGCTTGAGGAAATCAACAAAACTTACTGCACTGGCTTCTTCTGAAGTCAGTGAAGTAAGGTACAAGAAGGTAAAGAAGATTAAGGTTAGTTTTTTTGTAGATGTATACTAATTTTAATTCCTTCTTCCCTCCTACTCAAAAAGGTTTTCTGTGGCCACAAGTTAGAAACTGATGCATAGTAACTACTTGTTATCTTGATCATGTCTCAGATGCTGTTTCCTTATGATGAATTTGTAAAGCTATTTCAGACTGAAGCCATTGGTATATGTCCTAGGGGCCTTTTAAATTGTGGGAACAGGTAAGGAAGAAATTTTGATAATTTTATAGATTAAATAATAGACATTAACTATTGTCATGTTGCATTGTTCCTTATGCAACAGCTAGCATATTTTTGTCATTGTTTTGTGGATTAAAGTTTTTTGGGGTAGAGAAGTTTCCCCACTCCAAGGTTACATCTGTGTGTGAGCTGTCTCAATTTTTACATTTTTTTTGTGCGCCTTCTGTTTGTATTTGCAAAATGATCAAACAAGCCTGTTTTCTCTTGAAGATAAATTTCTAAGACATCTTTCTATTTTTCATTTCCAGTATATTCTGAATCATTGCTATTTTTTCTCTCTCTTTATTTTGCAGTTGCTATGCCAATGCTGTCTTGCAATGCTTGACTTCTACAAAGCCTCTCGTCATCTATCTGCTTTATAGATCACATTCAAACGCCTGTATTTCCATTATTCTCTCTTTCAATTCCCCAAAACAAGAATGTCTAGCTCAATTTGCCTTGAAGACAGTTTCAAAAAAATGTCTTATTTTTCATTGAATACCAGGTTGTGCTAAAGATTGGTGTCTAATGTGCGAGTTAGAGCAGCACATAATGATTTTGAGAGAAAATGGGGCTCCTTTATCTCCTAGTAGAATACTTTGGCATATGCGGAGCATTAATAGCCACATGGGTGATGGAAGTCAGGAAGATGCCCATGAATTTTTAAGGTCTTTGGAGATAATATTGCCTATTCATACCTATAGAATTATTAATTTCTATGGATACTATGTCCCCTCCCCTCTCTCTCACCACATTAATTTCCTTTATATTTAATGTATTGTTTTCATTTTCTATTTCTATACTGAAATGTACTAGTGCTTATTGAAATTGAAACCTATACTTAATCATTGTTAAATTTAATCTATTGTTTATATAGGCTTTTAATTGCATCAATGCAATCTATATGCTTAGAGGGACATGGTGGTGAGAAAAAGGTTGATCCTAGACTACAAGAAACTACTTTCATACAACATACTTTTGGTGGCCGTCTTCAATCCAAGGTTGTCCCTTGTTTCATTTCCTTATCTCTCATGTTTTTCTTTTCTCCCTCTGGCTCTAAGTCTTTGACGGTAGTGATTTTAATTATGCACATTTTTGAAAGCATGGTGAAATTTAATGTCTGCAGGTTAAGTGTTTGAATTGTAATCATGAGTCAGAAAGATATGAGAACATTATGGACTTAACGTTGGAGATATTTGGTTGGGTTGAGTCACTGGAAGATGCACTGACTCAATTTACTTCCCCTGAAGATTTGGATGGTGAAAATAAGTACAGATGTGGAAGGTCTGATGATTTAATTTTTGTATTTTCTGATTTAATTATGTGATTTAGCTGGTTGATTTAGTTATAATCAAAGGATATGGGGAAAAAGAGAAAAGAAAAGAGTATTGTTAAATTTTTCACTTCCAATTTAAGAGACTCTAACCTCTATACATTTTGAACTAGATGCACAGCATATGTTCGAGCTAGAAAGCAGTTGAGCATACATGAGGCCCCTAACATCTTGACTATTGTTTTAAAGAGATTTCAGGTATCTAATTGCTTTTGTGTAATGTTGTTCGTTCCACTTTTGCTTAGGAAGCTTGACTTTGTTGTTTGTCTTGATACTTGTTCTTATCTTCTTATTGCTTTTTGTGATGACTCATTTGGCATTACTATTACTGGCTTCCAGATTAAGGAAGTTGATAATGCTGTTTGAGCAGGACATGAATTGATATGTGAGAATTTATACCGATGTCAATGTTGTCAGTGCTTTGCTGTGTAATAATGCTGTAATAGGACATTCCTATATTCTATGACAAGAAGAACTTCTAAAGCATAAACATTAGTATTGTATGAATATTTTATTATTATTACTATTATTACAGTTTGATTTCCTTTTCTTCAAGTAATTGTTATTAAATAAACAATTCTGGCGATGTAAATTTTCAAATTATTTGGTCATTGCCAGCATTCACTGTATTGTGAGATTAGTTGGTTTCTGAAAATTATTTTCAAGTTTTTGGAAAGTAGTCTTGAATTATCTCTCTTTATGTAATTCTTCCCTTTCATAATTATTGTATTTTGGATCTTGTATTTTTGGGTGGTAATGTTTCAAATTTCTTCTTTTCATATATTTTGACCCTTTGAAATATCTTGTTTTTGGTTCTGTATCATCAGGAAGGAAGATATGGGAAAATTAATAAGTGCATAACTTTTCCTGAAATGTTGGATATGATTCCTTTCATGACTGGGACGGGTGATATTCCTCCACTTTACATGCTTTATGCTGTTGTCGTGCACCTGGACACGCTAAATGCATCTTTCTCTGGACATTATGTTTCATATGTGAAAGATATGCAAGGCAATTGGTTCAGAATAGATGATATTGAGGTAATGCCTTGTTTCCAATATTTGCTTGTAGTTGGCAATTTGCCATATGCCATTGTCATGAATTAACTATCCAATAAGCTCAAGCTGTTGGGTGAAAGCCCGTGAATGGTTTTATATCTAACAGTAACCATCTTCCTTTGTATTAATGTCTTGTGTGTTTGTGGATAGTAAAGAATTTGGAGAGGAATTGTCATGATAAATGGAATTATGAAATAATCAAAGTCTCCCAAGTAATTTGATTAACTTGTTGCCTTTTAAATTTGGGCCTCTGGCCTCTGCCACACTGCCCGGGTTCTACACACTGCCTTTTAATTTTCTCTTTTATAAGCTAACTGTATATTTTTACCCATATGAAGTAAAAGGGGTGATGGATTTAAATTAGCTGCTTACTTTGTGGCAATGAACTGAGAGGCTTGATTGTGTTTCCCTCTGGAATTTGGAAATGGATTTTGCTTTTTATGTAATGCTCTACGTATCATTTGTAGATAAGAAGTTTCTCTAGAATTGGAGTTGTTAGAAACCCATAATAGAAAATAGAAAAGAAAAGATTCTATTTCTTGAATGAAATTGAACAGAACAAGGTGAAAAATTATCTACCAAGACTTATCCCTTTCTTATAAATCTTTTCTAATTCTGAATTGATCCTTTCTAACTACCTAATTGCTCTAACTACCCTTAATTTTCCCTTCCCTTTTATCTCGACTCCTAACTGGAGTTGACCTTAGCTGATAATGAGTTAACAGAACATTGATGTTAGATTTTGCTTTGAAGTCTTTCTTTCTTGAATATTGATAGCTTTGTATTGAAAGGCTGTATTGCTAACTTGCAAAGAATGTGAGGTATGTACTGTCATTCAAGATTGGTATATTAAAAGAACGCTTGATCTTGTTTGTATTTGAAGATTGGATTTTTTTCAAAATTGAGTTGAGCACACAAGTGCAGAATACTTTCCTCCCTTTTGAAAATTTAGTAATACTTCGTACTGGTGAACTTCTGATTGATGTAGTAGGGCAATGAACAAACTCTAGATATGTATTTTTTGTCATTTTTTACGTTTCATACTGATTATTTGTTCAATGTTTATTCATTAGGTTTTAAGTTATGAGATTATATCTATTTAACAGGTTCAGCCAGTGCTAATTAATCAGGTCATGTCAGAAGGAGCATATATCTTATTCTACATGAGGTAGAGATTTAGTTTCTGTCCCGGTTGTTGACAATTTGTTTTCTCAGTATATTGTCACTTAATATGCTCATAATGATATAGTTGGTTCTTTAGTTGTTTTTGTAAGTTTTACATTTTGAGCTAATTGCTCTCCTTTGTCTATGAAAAATATTTCAAAATGTCTTTCCAAACCTAAATTCAATATGATTGAGGTTCCTCTAAAGAATACATATTTTGACAGATTCTTCATTGATCTTTGTATGTGACCCTATTTCTGGAATTGGACTAATTGTGATCTAAGACTCTTAAGTCCATTCTTTATGGATGTGGGCGTGTATCTTTATTTTGTTGCATGCTATGAATAAATATACTTTCTTCAGGCTTTAAAACTATTAAATTGTTGGTAGGTCGTGTCCCCGTCCTCCTGTAGAACATACCGCTAAAGTTGTGCAGCAATCAGTTTCTAATTTTGCAAAGCATCATCCAATGGAAATGCAGAAGCCTAATAAATCGGGACATAGCAGACATGGCAATCAGATTTTTGTCTCACAGTCATCACCCAATGACAAGCCAGAAATTGCTACACACATTGTTGACGCCAGTCATACCACTAATGGCTTCCTTAGGAAAAGCACCAATAGGAATGCCCTTCCAGTTACACAAACTTATGCTGATAATGTCAGGCATGAATTTTCAGATTGCACACCAAGTGATTGGTCCCTTTTCACAAGCTCAGATGAGGCTTCTTTCACAACTGAGAGTACCAGGGACTCCTTTAGTACTGTAGACTATGGTGATTCATGTAACATGGATCCAATTTCATCTATCTTCAATTACACCCCCGAAAACTCCTACATGAAGTTTTCACATAGTAAGCCAGGTACAAGGTTCTTCCCTGAAAAGGGTCATGTTGAACGAGTTCAGAGAATTGATCAGTCTAAAAGGGTCATCCATTCTTCTAATGAACATCCATCAAATGGGAATTGTAGCATGTATGTAAATTATGGGAGTAATCCTGTGTATGGTATTACTCGGACTTCTAGTCAGTGTGAATTCTAGTTTTTTGAGAATCCTAGCTGGTTGAACTGGTTATTAGATGGAGTAGGTGCGATGCCTCAAAGTTTTCAATATTTAGTTGATTGAGGCATATAGTTCTTTTAAGCACAGATGTATTTTATTTTTAATTTTATTGATAATTGTAAAGATGACAGAATTGCTCCTTTGATTATCTATTATTAATTATTATTAATCCATGATGAAATTCTTTTTCTAGTGGTAAAACTGTTCCATTCATCCGAGACCACTTTTAGACTTTTCTGTAAATTGTTTCTGCGGCTCATGCTCATGACATGAGGCATGTTACTTTGCATTTATAATGCATTACAATATTATAACACGGAGAATACACTCAAACTCAGTCTTATAATAGCTTTTTCACTTAAAATAAATTATTGTATCCACGCAAGTGTAAATCAAACATTTTATTTCAAACAATCATTGAAGTTTGTTTCATACCAATTTATTTATCAATGTGTATAAATCTATTGGCATTGGATGGCATTCCAATCTAATTCTTTTTTTCTTTTTCCAAAACTCTGACATGCTTATTTGAACTCATCAATCAATAAAGAAGCGTACCCCTCCGCAAATGTTCAAAACTGCCTTGTAGTGATTAATATACCAAATCCCAAAACGTGGTTAGGTTTAAAAGATACAAGCAACAAGTTTTTACTCAAATTACTGTTTGCAACTTTCCAAACGGAAATCTAAACACAAACTAATGATCCAAAATATTATTCAAGTTAAAAGCATTTGCTTAAGCAAGAAGTTCAACACTTAATTTTATCAATTTCAGATGCTCTAGTAACTTAAACTGTGATGTACTCATAGCTTTCTTGTAGAACATGTAAAGTCGTGAAAATAGTTAATGTCTTCTCACACACTTCTTCACATTGCATGAAGTTCATTTCCCATATCAAACAAGAACCATATCTCATTCACCCTATTATCATATTCAAAAGGGTCATTGTATTGTGCTACAGTGTAAACAGAAGCATGACCAGCTCTGTGGCTTTTGTCAATTGCAGCAGACCAATCAGTGCCAGCAATACTAGCTTGCAAAGCAGCAGCTTCCACCCCAACATTTGAATCAGTTACATATCCACCAAATTGTCTTGCTGCTACATACACATTTTTCCATCTTTGGACATGGAGACCCTTTGCAGGAGGAGGGTTTGGTTGGTTCTCTTTTGGCACGAAGAAGCTCACAACAAATGAGGATTCACATAAGGGTCCATCACTCGGTGAAACTTCTGTGATCACAGGTCCTGTCATCTCAATTTTCAGCTTGTAATTGTTCTTGCCCTCAATATAATCAAATAGCCTGCTAAAAACAAAGGGAGTACTCAAGCTCAATTACATCTTTGGATGGGATAACCCAACCCCATAAGCACTTGTTGAAAAGTTTTTGCAAATGTAGATGAACTTAAGAACACAGTCTATTCAATAAAAATAAAGTTCCCATGGTTAAATCTTTTCTTAAAAAAATAAACTATGCAATAAATTGTACTCTATTTGATTTTTTTTATGAAGTACAATCTAGAAGGTTTTGGTAGTCTTTATTATAAGATATTTTATAATTTTAATGAAACATTTTTTTCTATTTATCCATAATAAATACAGTTTATGAGAACCATAAATTAAAATCGAGGAAAGAACATCTCAAAATTAAAATATTGATGGTGAAAATAAGTTTAATAATATTAAATAAAAGGAGTTTAGTTGAAGAGTGAGAATCAATTGTCATTCATATTTAAATAATTTTATTTAAAATGCCCTTCGTTCTCATCGTTGTTCAAATTATAATAATTTAAAAAATATATAAAATTTAACTAAATAATAGAGCTAATAGAACCTATTGGAGTCACTTATGAATATGATGATGATGAAAACACACAAGACCCATTAACAGAGAGAGTTACTGTTACACTATTACTGAACTTGACAAGAAAACAAATACGAAATTCATGTACTAAACAAGCTGAATGGAAAGAAAGTGACCTCCTGAAGCCAGTTCTCGTTGCTTCAACAAGAGAAATGCCTTGAATGGGAGAACTTGAGTATGATGATAGTTCTTGCAGCCATGACTAGAGTTGCTCAATGCCGCACATGCAACAGGTTCAAATGATTAGTGCCTCATTATGTGGCTACAAAGCAACAACGTTTCATATTGACATGTATTTGAGTTACATTATTTGTATATTAAAAATTGAAAAAAAAATGCCCTTAACGTAAGTTGATAAAACACAACCAGAAATATGATGTTGGAAAATGTAAAAATGCATTTACTTTTATGTATTTTAATACGATTTTAATAAATAAAAAAATTTAACTTTTTAAGCAGTGTCCTAAGATCCTGGTTAACATCTTTAAAGCATTAATACCAATTGTGATATTGTTTATATTTATTTATTTGATCTTTTTAGTATATGTTAATATTTAAAACATTAAAGAAATAATATTTATTTATTCTGATTGCATGTGTTAATATAATTTTTTTATTTATAAAAGAATATTTGCAATACATTATTTTATATACTGTTATTATTATTATTTACTGTTTACCGGGATTTATATAAAATTCGTGTAATAATATAAAGTGTCTGTTAGTATTTCTCTTCTTTATAAGGCTTTTCTTGTGACATTTGGAAGAACAAAAATCGTTGCATGGATTTATTTTTCTCCTTTTCTGGTCGCTATTATTTATTTATCTTTAGTCATATGATTTATCTTTTTATTTTGTTCAGCAATTTTTTTTTAGTTTTTTTTTAAACTGAAAAAATTACATATGTTAATCAAAATCAGAATTACAATGGGCCAAGGCCCAACTTCCTATGAGGGTTAGAGCACTATCTACAAAAAGCCCTCAAGAAGTTTGTGATCTTGAGGATTTGTTCATTCCAAGACTATTACTACATTTTTTGAATATCTAGGACAAGGTTCATATTCTAGTAACTAGGCACTATAACAATTTTCAAGTATGATGAACATGGAGTTTAGTTTTGCTTATTTATTTTATAGGTCGACGAAGGAATTGATGTGTAGTAACCAAAGATGAGACACTTAATGCGTTTTCTACTTAATGTGATAAAAACAAAACAAAAAAAACAGCCTAGTCTCAAATACATTGCAAGTTTCAATGCAAATGATAGTGTGCAGTTAAGAATACGTTCAAGGTACAACTTAAACAACGGTGAATAATCATTTTCTTTGTGGAATGAATACGAGCAAAAGGGTTCAAGTTAATCCTTTTCTTTGTTCAAAATGATAGTTAGTAGTTGTCATTTTACAAAATTATTCTCTTCATGATTTTCATTGTTGCATGATGATCAAAGCTTGTGTAATGGCTTTTAAACTATATGTCCTACATGGTTTTCAGTTTTTCTTTTTTGTTTTAGTCTACTAAAGCATCTAAAAGGAGGCCCAGAAATTGTGATGAGGTTAGGCTTTGCCCTCTATTAGGCCTAATAGAAAATTTCCGGTCCAAAACTGATCCCTTGATTCTTTGGACAAAAAGAAAACTTGTTGAAATTCTTACTATTTTTGGTAGAATTTTATGAATTAATTTTAACTTCTGTTAAATAGTGAATTTGATTTTCTATGAAATAAGATGAATAAATAAGCTGATACATTTCACGAAATTCTTACATTATATGATTCACTTGGGAATCAGTGTGTATATATGTATTTATTGAGTTTTAAAACACAATTAATAAATGTGTTAGATTTTAAGGTATAAGGGCAAGTAACTAAAGGCTAGTAGCGAGTAAAAATTATGGTTGTTACTACTATAATATAAGGTCGACATTCTCTTGCTCCCCTTATATTTTGGTTGTGTTTTTTTTTTTTTCTGTTCAAAGTCTCAGTTATAGATAAAGAGTAGGAGGAAGAGATCCTACATACTTCAACATGTATAAATATGTATATTTTAAACAATTATTTTTACCTATAATATTGTATGTTAAACTAGATTTGGAACCCTTAAAATTAATTTTAGGAAAACCCTAAATATGATTTAGATTGAATCATATGTGTTTTATCTGTTCTGTTTGGGAGATATTTATTCCGGATAAGTTTTGGTATGTTTGAGAACCTAATATATGATGGTTTTGAAGAGCCCAAAATAAAAGTAGATTTATTATTATTATTGTGGCTTGATAAGTGAATCTAATTTCTGTGGTGATGAAACTCTGCGTGAACCATGGTCGAGGGCCATGATACTGCATTTTTGAGCTTGTATGTGATGCTGAATATCTTGAAAATATATAGAAGATTTGGTATTACACGTAGTACTAGATCTGTGGATTTTGTTGATACCCTTTATGTTTTTGTTAAGAATCCTAAAAAGATTTGGGTGTTTTTGTACTTTGTGTTGGAACCCAATTTGGGTCTACATGGCTGTTGAGTGTGCAACAATGCAAAGGAGATTAATCTTCTTTCAATTTTTGCAATAACAAGCCGACATGCCCAAGTCACGCGTGAAGCTAAGACAGATATTAGATTGGATTAATTGTGTTCAACTTTTATCTGATCATTTTTGCATTTGTCATCTTATTTTGACATGTTCTTCTGAAACTTTATGTGCAATAATTGTTTGATATCATATTTTCAACCATGTTTAAAATAAATAAATAAACACATTATTTATAGGTATCTTTGGACGAGATTATTTTGTATCTCTAATTATGCATAATTATTCACATTTAATTTTTAGATGCTGTTTATTCGTGTAATTTTTCTTATAAACCGTGCTTTTATATCTTATAAATTAATGCATAATTGTATATGTTTGAAAGATAAATAACGATTATTATGATCTGCTAGTGGGTATAATCATAGAGAAAGCTTTGACATAACCAAAAATAATATTTGTTATCATACACAATAAAATTAGAAATAACTTCTTATTTCAAGTTAATTATACGCCTAGTACTCAATTTAGCTGAATGACTTTCTATTCAAGCACTCAATTTTTATACTAATATTGATAAAATTAAACAAATATATAAACATATTTTTTAATTGAGTTTAAACACTAAAAAATAATAAAAATTTATTAAAAAAATATTTATCACTTTTCATAACTTTATTGTAATAAATATATTTTTAATTAAAAACTATTTTTAAGTGCTAAACAAACAGTAAAGCTAACAAATTTCAAATACTAATTTTACAATTGTATATTAAAAGTTGTTTTCTTTATGTTTCTAGTCGTAAAGTTGAAAAGAGGACATCAATAAATTATTATTATGCCAAAATAAATGTTGTTTTTTTATTATATAGTAATTATTATAATAGCCTATTTATTAAAGTAGGATAAAATTATAGAAATATTTAATTTTTTTCATTTTTTTTAAATTACAGTATTTTTTTATTGAAAGCAATTATGTTTGAATTAAGTAGATTTATTATAAATAACAATTTTTTTTCTCTAATTATGTAATACAACTATATTCACTAATACTCAAACTCAAAATTACATATTAAATTAAAATAATCTTTTACTGGTTAATTTACATGTTTAATAATCTCTTTTATGTTTATTAATTTAACATGATTGGCTCTCAATATTAAATTGCAGTCTAATAATGAGTTATAAAAGTTTAATAATGATGATGAAATTAATTTTAGGACAATGATACGAGTTTGAAATATAAAATAGTTATTCAACTATTTGATAAATATAAAATAGCATGTTTATGTATTAATATGATTTCTTAAAAACTTAAAGACAAAATATGTATTTTTGGTATTTATAATTTTGGATTTTCTAAATTCATTTTAAATTATTATTTTATTTTATAAATAAAATATATTAGTAGTTAAAATAAATAATAAAATAAAAATCTTAAAATAAATATTTAATTAACATCCTTTGAATTATATTTTATTATGATACCCAAAATGAATAAGAATATATTTTTATTAAACTAATATATATATATATATATATATATATATATATATATATATATATATAAACAATAAGTTATAAGCTTCCACCTTATTTCAAAGTAGCATATGAAAAAATATTAGAAGCTAGCGAGATATACTGGTTTATTAAATAATAATTTATTTTTTTTGTGAAATAAACTAATAAACTAGCTAAATTTTTTTCATGTTTTTTTGTTTTACTTTTTCTCCTCTCCCAAATTTTTTTATATTTTATTTTAAAACCACATCTTCTCTTTTTATTTTTTATTTGTCTTTTTATCCTAAGGTAAGCTTCCATCTTTTCGTTTTGTTTTCTTTAGTTTTTTTAAAAGTTCACGTTTCTTATTTGAAGTTTTGTTTGGTAACATTATTTTACATTTTCTATATTCAATTATATAATAATATGATATAAAAAGGATTAAAATATGCGGTTTCACAAAAGAAGTGAGTGTTTCTATAATACTATCCTCAATAATCTTTCTTGAGAAAATTAGACATAAGTTTAGTTTGAGTAATATATTACATGCATGTCCTGGTCATGATTGCATTAAATGATTTTCTTGAAAGATAGTTCTTCTCTTCCAATATCCAAATTGAAATAGAGCTCGCAACTGATAAAACTATCAGGGCTGATAATGCAGATTGGAGTTAACATGTATATATAAACATCCTTGATGCCAAGCCTAGTAAGACCTTCTCCTTCTATGATAATTAACCTACTAAAGGTTTGACCTACACAGAGAGACCATTAATCTATTTCTATAAAAGACAAAATTTATGTATTGTTCTTTTAAGTGTTAAAATTATGGTTTCACTTAAATAAAAAAATTATGTATATTATTCTAAATTGTTGAGAAATAATTAATTTTGATGAATAAATAATAGCAACAACATATAAAAAAATAAAAAAAAGAACTGAAGTTTCAAACTTATATAAAATCCAAAAATATTAATTAGTGGCACCACGTAATATAGCAAGTATTCTAACAGCTTAATATCATAACATGCCTTATCAAATTATACTCTTTATGTTCTTGGACAATATTCTGCTTAACGTTGAAATTTTGAAATTAACCTGTTGATGACAACGCTGACCGTTATGGATTGTCTGAATTTACATGATAAACGTACATT